AATATTGGGAATTCAATACCACACACACCATCTAATAGTTAAACTTAATGGCGATGCAGTTTATGTGCAACCTGCAGGTCACTATAGTTTAGCATACAGACTGTTTGGGTGATATTGTTCACTGTTATCATAACAATTGTTTGACTGGAACTAATTTTTTTCGACAACTAAGTAAACAGGAATCAGTAAACAATTTAAAATTATGTTTACTATCTTTGGTTACTTTAGCAGGGACGTGCTCAGCTTTTTCTGGAATTATAGAATTTTAGGAGTAGGTAGTATGGTCAAAATTACAATGTTAATATATATATATATATATATTGTATACATACCTATATTTTTACACTAATATTTTAAACCTCTTTTTTCATATTTTTCATTTAAAGGAAACCTAAATGTTGTATGGATACCATTTTTAAGTGTCTAAACAGTAAAAGATAAAATGTATGTATACTCTGTAGTAAGAAATGAATTTTTTTATATACCTGTATATAAAAATATAAACCTGTAATTTATGTAACCTGTAACCTGTAACCTGTAACCTGTAAGTTACGATAAATCGTTGCTAACGAAAAAATCGATTCTGAGTAAAGTTCAGTCGATTGTGATGCTTTGGCAACAATATATATGTCATATTATAGTAAAATAATTAAATAGGCATAATATATTTTCTTCGATAATATTTGTTCAACGTACCAATTTTCACGTTTTTCCTCCGGTTTTTCGGCTTTTTACATTTGATGAGAAAACTCCTGAGAAAATCAAAAAAATGACCTCTTTAAAGTATCTTCCTAGTAAGATTTCCAATAAAAAAAAGTTCTATTATTGTAAATTGGAGCAAAATTGCTTGAAGAAAATTTGTCCACAGAAAAAAAAAAATAAACATCTTTGTAAAATCATAAGTTTCTTCACTCCACTCAGAATCTAAAATATGAAATTATTAAAAATATTTATATAATTAGGCATATGTATTAGTATAAAAGTTTTATTATAGCATAGCTAAAAACTGTATAACTATAAATACTATTGATAATATATTAATATGCCGATGTTTATAACATAGATATCGAAATATAATGGACTGAAATATCAAGATAGTCTGTTGGTGCCTTTTTTTTTTAATAATATTTATACTTTATCTATAAACAATTATTATTACTATAATATCTACTAAATATATTTTATATGTATGATAATAATTAACATGACTAAAAATTAAAACCAACTATGTACTACTTTTTTTTCTTCCAAGAAAACCGAAACTACCAAAGAACTTTAAACTTTAAAACGTTATGGGGGGATATGACACCCTTCACGTGAGTACGCTCCTGTAGGTTATCCATAGGTAAAATTGGTAAAATTCTGTACCTACTACTGTGTACAGTAAACAATATGTTTTGGCGATTTCGCAACCGAGTAACAAAAACATCAAACTGTTTACCGCGAAAACTCCATCGTTAAAACACGTATAGAGTATATTATTTGTAATAATATAATACATAAATGACCCAAATATTTTGAAAATTGAAGAGAATGAAGTTTTTGAACATAGGAATATCTGCTTATTATTGATTATGTATATTGACGTACATACGAGAGTGCCAGGGGGTGTTTAGCACCCCTAAATTTACAATTACCACTCTCAGATTCTAAGCTAAATGAAATAAATATAATACTTAAATAGTACTCAGATATGAGATGAGCAGTTACTAGTAAACTATTGTGTATTGATTATGTATAATATATAAATAATTAATATTATATAGTATTTTTATTATATTATTGTGTAAGTTTATGATAATTGTTTTTATATTTTTAAGGAAGTACCTATCTCTTGTTGTTTATTTATAAAGCAATGAAAGATTCATTATTTTAATTTCAGATTCCGAGCGTAGCGAGGGAGCTATTGGTTTTACTAAGATGTTTATTTTTTTTTTTTATAGCCTGTTTCTAGACACGTTTTTCCTAGTAAACTTAACTCCGTTTTTTTACGTGTAGCAACTTTTCCGAAAGCCCAAGTTATCTGGATTGTATTTTAAAGATATTATTTTTTGATTTTCCTTGCTAATTTTTAAATAAAAGCACTTAAGTATGAAAAAAAGGTAGGAAAACGTACAATTTCACGATTTCATTATTTTATAAAAACACGGACGACGTTTTCTACTAGAAAAATTATTTAATCGAAAAATCACAAGATACCTTTTTTTTGTTGACTTTTTGATTTAATTTCTTATGATATCATCGCCAAAACTTTTGAGCTTTTAAGGAAGTTTAGTTTTTGGTAGTTTTTTGGCTTTAATTCGGTTATAAACACACGTAGAGACATGAAATTTGGTATTAATACTTATATTGGACTTACCTAGATGTGGTAAAATTTTCAAAATCATCGGACGACTTTTTTTTTTCATAAGCGTTTTGAAATCAAATTTAAACGAAAATCGTAAAAAAATTTAGGACATTTCAAATTATGCATTATTGAACTGCACTTGGAATCATCTTTTGTCAAGCAAAGGTTTATCGTTGCTTACAGATATAAATGAAATAACCTTATGTATTCTACCTTTTCAACTTCTCTCCTTTAACAGTGGCCGCTCCCATCCTCAGTATCAGCTTTTATTTTGTTTATTTAATGTGCAAGTAATATATTATTTTATTTTGAAATGTCGAATATGTTGGGGGTGTTTAGGCAAATTCCTCCGTGATACCCTATCGTAAATAATTTTAGCACTCCCAAGATTTAGATTGAATGTGCGCCAATGTATGTATAGTGTTTTCTAAATAAATATACATATATTATATATAGAAACCTGTTTTTTTAATAAAAATATATATTGTATAGCAATTAGTGGTGGGAAAAATCCGGAATTCGAAAATCCGGAATTTTGGAATCCGAAATCAAAAACTAATTTAAAATCCGGATTTCTGGCATTTTTTTTTTTAGTATAGAAAATTCAAATATAATCTATAGTAGATTATAAAAAAAAAAATATCGAAAACTCTAATTTTGAAATTGAAAATTTTAAAAATTGGAATTTTCGTAAATGGAAATCCAAAATTCAGATATATGTCACATCACTATAATAGCAATATAACAGTGAATTGGCTGGAAATTCGGTTTGAATGTATAGGCACTTTCAGTTTGTTACACTAGTGAATACATTAATACAACGATCAATAAACAATAGTATAGGTATACGATGGCGTTCAGTAAATTAATACACTCGGTACAGTTATGATTTCGTTATTGTTCGGTATTCTTTACTAATATATACGCTTTTAAAAAGCCATTACTTGTATTATGTGAAGCTACATCGATCAGTGTATTGCGCCGAGTACATACCACGCATTACATTATTACGTACCTATATAATATATTATAAAAGTGTACAGATAATATTATATTTAATTTCGTAGATTGGTGAAGATGGACGGGACAAATGGTCCAGGACGGGTACTTACATTGACGAAACGATATTGCGTAAATTTGAAACGAACGAACGGGTCGTTCGTTTGTCGTATCGGATCCCGATCGGGAATATATTATGCCTACGCGTGTGTGTGTACCGCTGTGCGCGTTGCATAGCGCGGAGCAGCTCCGCGGCGACGGCGGTAGAAGAAAATAAATAAGAAAGGGACGAAAACAAGCGTACGCCGTTCGCGGAAGAGTGTAATATGCGGTGCTGTTGTAGGTACACCGCACGCATCCGTCGTGTATTATGTACGCGTTCGCATTGTGGTGTTTATTATTGGAAAGGCAATTTTTCCCTCAACTCGTACACGCGTTGTATAATATTCTCAGAAATCGTCGTCGAAACGCGCGGCAATACCGAAATTGAACACAGTCCTATCCGGACGTGCATCAATCACTGCCACCGCTACCGCCGCCTACTCCTCCGTTTTCGGGTGGCATATCATACATGCCCGCGCGCGCGTGTGTGTGTTTGTGTGTGCACGCGTGACGGCCTATCCTCCCGCGGGACCACCCGGATTCGGTCCGTTGCGCGCCGGAAGTTTTGCCGCAATAGGAACGTAAAGGCCGTTTCGCGACGTCCACGCGGACGACAAATCGAACGGCGCGCGTAGTATAATAATAATATATAAATGCCGCAGTCTCGGGGCTCAGGTAAAGTATAACGCAGTTGCGTGTATTAGTGTTGCGTTGCGGATGTATAATAATAACGGTAGTGTACAGTTTATACCGTGGTCGGCGGTAGCGCGGTGGCATAAGTATACCTATATTATACACACATGTATAGAACGCGGCGCGACGTGTAAATGTGTGTAGGTACGCGTGTATAAAAAGAACGCGTGTGACAAATTCGTTGCGCCCGACCGCCGGGCGAGCGGCGGCGGCGTCTGCGGGCCCCGCGATCATTTGTCGATAATGAATTGGGCCCCTCCGTTCCGCATCGCACTTAATAAATAAACCGCCGGAGCGAGCGCCGCCCATACGCCCAATGGCCGTCCGTTAAACCGTACTGCCCCCCGACGGGGGAAAACAACCCGACCACCCCCGGCGCGGTCGTCACCCCGGCAACCGCGAATATAGGGGACGGACGATCGCGCGTTGTATATAAGCACGAGTCATACGTATATATGAGGAAAATCCCTCTTTTTATTTGTAAATACACATATACATGTTACGCGTGGCGAGCGGACGTACACTGCTTTTCACATTTATAATTATATATATATACACATTATATTCCGATTGAGTGTCGATAACGGCAGGCGCGCACGGGGTAGAGAGAGCGCGCAATCGCCATGTAATCGCCTGATAACGCGTTACCGCCGCTGCCGCCGTATGGACCAGTTGATGAGATTCGCGTTGTCGTCACCCGCCGTTACTGCACCGTTTGCGCCGCGCGGTACTCTGCGCTGCACGCCGCAGCCGCTTCCGTTATCGCTGTCGCCGTCACGTCCTCTGCCACAACGCACCGTCGTGGTGATCGTCGCCGCCGTGTCGCCTGTACCCGCACGGGCCGTCGTCATCGCCGCCAATGGATTCGCGAGCGTCATCGCTGTCACCGGTGATCGACCCGGACGACTCGAGATCGCCTCCAGGATCACCTGCACCGCCGCCGCCGCCACCGCCGCCGCCACTGCCGCAGCCGCTGCTGCAGCCTAGGCCCGTAAACCAATCTGTAAGACTCGTTGAACACGTTCATAACAAAATCAACAATAACAATAATAACAACAGCAACAACAACAATAATCACCGACAAGTGTCGTCCAGCACGACGAAATCACCGCCGGCTCGCACGCCGCCGTTGCCGTCAAACCATCATCGAGCGCTAATCACCGCCGGCATCAACGCTGCACCAGGTACATAAATACATTACAATATATTTGAAATCGGTTACATTCGACGCGGTCAGTTCCAAAATATCCGAGAATTGCAGGTTTATGATTTGTTTTAAATGAACCAATCCCACGGGACGGAATATACCGGGATTCTGAAGAAATATCCGGAAAAAAATTTACGTTATATTATATTATTTGCGTATTTAAATAATAATACGCATCAAAATGTGTTTTAACGAAATTATTTACAATATATTTCGCACTTGTTTTTTTTTTACCAAATAAACAGTTAGTATATAATATTGGTTAGCGTTTATTTCAGATTTCACATGTTCTGTGGGTGGGAGAAAAAAGAATTTTCTCGGAGTCTTAAAAAATAAATAACGCCGTTTTTATTAACTTTATTAATTCATTATAATCATCGACATAGTTACGCCACCGACATTTCTGGGGGAAAAAAACGTTGTGTCGCTTTACAAATAGTCAGAAATTCGACCATTCAACATGTTAAACATTTTAAGGTAAATCGAATTTATATATTATAATATAGATACTAGATCCCCGGAGTGTAATCATTTTTCTCTAAGAAGGGTATCTGCTAAGACTACTTGGAACAACCACCGAGTGTAACAATTGGGCTCGGAGGTGGAAACAAGCTATTTTAGTATACCTATAGTGACGATTATTATCAATAATCATTTCCGAATAATATAATTTTCCATTTCGTATGCGGTACATTAAACACGACATATTAAGACTGCAGTCTAGTTTTAGTCAATTTTTAGTAATATCTAATATGTATGGGGTTTTCAACGAATACTTTGGTCTGCAAAGATTAAAGACTCTCAAAGTTCATAGAAATAAATATGATTTCGAACAATTCGACTTTTTTGTCAAGATTGTCGAAAAATCGAGCAGAAATTAATTGAATTTGCTTTGAACTGTTTGATTATCGTCAGCATAACTATTGAGTAATTGATTTACTATTTACTAATTTTACAATAATTTAGTAAACATTTGCTATTTTGCTATTTTCCTTAGGTTCGGTGGTATTGCTGTTTTATTGCGGTATACATGTGAGACTTTTAAATTGTACGTTATATTATACGATTTTCTCGGCACATTCGACCCAAACGGGTTGTGAGTTCTTTTCATCTAAAATTAAAAATGAATGCGTTAGGTCTTTACTCGTGGAAGAGTGTGTTTAATTAATTCTGTTGCAGCCCCTGGCAATGGTAACTTTTTGTCGGGGGAGTCCAACGGTTTTTATGGTTTTTAAGTTTCATTGTTGTTCAATATTGATCTACGATAACATAATATTATTTATTATTATTAATTACCGATTATAATATCGGCCGTTTAGTGATATTTTATTAAAATGTCCGTAAAACACAGAAAAAACGTACGTCAATGTCCAATATTGTTGTAGTAGTTTATGTTTAAATATATTATTTTCGTTACCCTTAAAAGTCAAAGTTTTAATATAAAAATAAAATAATAAAGCAAATAAATGAATAACCAAATGTTCCTTTTTATATTTCGTGAAAATCATATCGACTGCAGTTGTATTTTATCTATTAAACAAATCTATTATTTTTATATTTTTATATTTTTTAATATATTATTTTTTTGGGGGGGGGGATATTTTCATATATTCTGTTTATGTTGTGCATTGATTTTTTAAAAAGTTATTAGTAAAATTTAAGTTAAAAATAGTATTGACTATAGTCTAGTTTTCATTGTATAATAACACAACTTAATAATCTTTTTCAAGAAAAAATACATTATTAAGAAACAGTCAAAACTGCAAAATCCTCTTCCGAAAGGGACCTGCAGATTATGACTGAAACTCTCATCGATGAAAGTAAACCAAGTAAGGTTTAGTGATAAATGAAGACAATACTAAGTTCTTGATAAATGCATCATCTAAATTCATCATTGTTCCCTGATAATTGGAAATCGAGTTATATTCAGCCAATCTCAGAAACCGGTGATAAATAAAATATTATAAATTGCAGACCGACTTCTCTTCTATTTCTATCAAACGACGCTGCGGTGAGGATCTGAATGGTCTATATTAAACCAAATCAAAAAAAGTATAGATGGATATAGATATATATAAGTAATCGGGGTAATCAGAATAAATAAATGACGTCTATATATATAGTGCAACTTTTTTCTCTTACGCTTTCCATGCACATAAAGAGGGAGATATTTTTTAAATTATACTTTTATTCACTTTTTTATGAACGTTATTTAAAGATGAATATGAAAAAAATGTATTTGCCTTTAGCGAAAGGTGGCAGGGTGACTTTGTATAGTGCCTCGTAAAACTTTATTAGCCCGTAGCTCCGATATTTATCTTAACCCTAAAATTTTAACATTCCGCACATTGCACTGCAAGCATTACACGCACTGCTCATTTTCAGTCTGTTTAATGTGTTTTTTAGACTCTGAGCGTAGAGAGTTTTACTGTAAGGAATAATAATTTTTTTTGTAAAAACTATGGCTTTTTTTAGTTTTGATATTACGTGCATTACGTAGATACAATTGTTTAACCAAACAGAGATGCTTGCAAATTTGACACAAGATTTATCATAAGTCGTATTTAGTGATTAAAAAACAAAATATTTGAAAGTAATAATATAGTAAGTTTTTTTTATAAGCGATTTAAGATAAAATTTTGAAAAATCTTTAAAATTACCGCATTTTAAAACATGTATACCTAACCAAACTTTGCTCAGAGTCTCTTTTCGTTGAAAATAGTATCGTTACTTAGACACATAAATTAAATAACTTTATTTATCCTACCTTCCCAAATTCCCAGCTACAACAGGAGCACACTCGTTTTCAGAATCAGTTTTTTTTTTTTATTTATAAAAAGTAAATGATTCGTATACGACTATATGTCTTTATGAAAATTTCTTGGCATTTTATAAAAATGTTTTAACATAGTATTTTAATATACTTGTATAATAAATTTTAATTTTGGGAATTGCACTTTATTAACTTAATTTAAATTTATTGTGTACCTACCTATGATTTTGCAGACGTTGAAAATTATTTTTTATATTTGAATAACTGATACTGCTTGATATCCATTTTAGGAGAGAGATACGGTTGGTTTTATAGACGAATATGACGTTATAGACAGAAAAGCCAAACAAAATTATAATAAAGCATTTGATGGATTTAAAATATTTTAATTTTGAAAACATGATACGGTTCTTTAGGTTCTTTACTAGGATAAGTTGAAATTATTTTTTTAAATTTTAATTATCTTTATTTAAAAGGCACAACACTAAGTAGTACATTTTTGAAAAAATTTCAATTATATAGTCAAATTTGTTTACAATTTTTATTATAATAATTAAACATCTATTCTTCCTATATATTAAAGATCCAAAAGAATCATTATCCGTTATCAAAATTGATATCCATCAAATACGAGACATATCTACGAGAAGTAGAGATAATTTTGTATAAACAAATTATTTAATATCGAATGCAAATATAATTATTTATTTTCTGCGAAACATATTTGTAGAAGAGCAAATGTTATTATTATTATTATTATTTTTTTTATGTACTACGTAAAGTGCAATCCTAATGGTGTCGGGATCATTTTAATAAATAATGGTAAATATAATACGATCAAAACACAAATTAATTAACTATTTTAAATATTTCTTATCTTAATATTATATTAATAAATTATATCAATAATTAAAATTTGTAGAATTTATATTTAAAAATAATTCTCTACATTGTATTATTGTCCTTAGAACGAAATCTTTGATATGCAATTTTAGCTTGATAGCCGGAATAGGTATACAATTTAAATTACTAAATTTGCCCATACACATACGGATTGTCGAATTTTATAAAAACATTGAAAAGAGGATAGATTATAAAAATGTATTTATATTTAAATATTTTAACTATACAGGGTGATTAAAATAATGTAAGTCACTCATTATCTTGGAATTTGGTTTTTTATATTATTTGAGAAATAAATAGCTCTAAAATATTATATTTCGTTTATTTTTTTTCGTTAAGGGGTTTAAGAAACTCTGCCTACTCTTGATTTTCAAATGGCAAATTTTTCTAAAAATTCCATAAACAGATGGAGTATTAGTGCTAATAGATGTTAATATTTTTGATTTCTGTCAATCCATTAACAAAATATTCCACTTTTAAGTTTAAGTAGAGCGAGTGTAGTAGGACACTATTAAAACGCCACACGCTATGTTGCTACACAAATGATGCACCATTATTTTCCCTCCATGAAACTTAAAAAAGGAATATTTTAGTAACTATCTACATACAATTGGTTTAACTTTTTAATTTTCTCAGTAGAGTTCTTACCTATTGGGAATTACTAGAAATTTGTTGTTAGCTTCCGAGTCACATTTGTAACAAGAGAAAAAACAAAATTAATTCTACTCCATTCAAAATAGTTTTTTTCGTTTGCAATGATTTGCGCACAGTATATAAAATAAATTATCTTGTATTCTATACCTTTCTACTACCCACCTACGACAGTGGCCTACCCTTGAACACTTGAGCAATATCACCCTTTACCACAGACTAATCTATAGTAGCGGCAACTATAGAATTTTCTCTGAAATTTTCTTTTTTTGTATAGAAACTGTGTTGATATTATTCACAATTATTTTGTAATTATTTTTACATATGGATGTAATATGTAGAATGTAGGTATTATTATAATTACTATATTTTGAATTTATATTGTTTGAAACACTTAATTATCTTAAAATTTAAATTAATTGATTGTTATTTTGTTTGGGTCAAAAACAAATGTGAAAATGTAACAACGATTTTAACTTTTAAGAGTTTAAAAAAGTTTATACTCGTGGGCTTTTCATAAATGCGACCAACTTTTAACTTGTTTTTCGTTAAAACGATATATTTTACCTGAAGGAAAAAAAAAAATCAAAATTTAAAACCGACCGTGAAACGAACTGAGTTCGGAAAATAATTTTATAAAAATTTGTCCATTATAATAATACACCCGCGAATATTGTGTTTTTGGCAATAATAATAATAATAAAAAAAATATAATAATGGGAAATGTTTTTGTTTTTGTTTTTTTGTTTTTTTTTTTTTTTTTTTTTATAAGGGGGAATCGCGTTTGGTCGTACCTATATATAAATATAAAAGTTGTTTCGGTCGGTGTGTGAGGGTGATTGAGTGCGCGGCGTCCACCAAATTTCATTAGAACCGTATATAATATACAGTTTGCCAGTAAGCAAAAATACCAAATTGGATTTTTTTCCCCTTGCCCCGCGTCTCGTCTTCACCGTTTTTATTCGTTTTATTAATCCGAGGTCGGTTATAACGGGTAGAATTTATTGTTGTTTTTTTCGCTCATCACACACGCCCAGTAAAACAAACGTGCGTATATTATAATAATATTATTGTACCATAATAACATTACACGGTGACTCGAAATCATTATTACCGTCCCGGTTCGGTTAATTGTATTGTAATACAGCATTTTTATAGTATAGAGTAGTACTTCTAATATCCATATACCTGTATAATAATATTGTTTCAAATTAAATTACACTTGACTTCAGCTTGCATCGTTCGTCATCATCATCATCATCATCATCATCATCATTCATCGGTATTGTAATAATATACTCGACTGCGATCCGATTAAATCCGAAAATCATAATATTGTTGCCAATTTGAGATAATATATGTACATGTATCGTATATCGTATCGTAAAATCGACAATTCCGCCAAAACAATAAATAATTTATTGTGAACCTACCTATGTCGAAAATATCCGCATAACACATAGAAAAAGGAATTAATTAAAAATATGATTTTTTTTTTTTAAATTTTAAATAACTCTTCTTTCCATGAACTATATCCATTATAATATTATCGTTACTTAATACTTACATATTATTTTTGTATTTTTCATTTTAATCGGAATAATAATATAATGGTTATTATACAGACGATTTGTATTTTACACTGCAGTTTATTTCTATATTATTATATGTAATAAATGTTAGAGTATTTCGAAATCGTGAACGTTTCAGATAGGTGTGAACGATCGGAGGTGTAAAAAAGATATATGTATATTCCGTAAAGTGTAGGGGGTTTTTCTTTCTCTTAATTAAAGTAATGGGATTAGACTAATCCAAGACATAACTGAGGTGCAGGCCGCACGGGGCGGTACGGGGGAAAATAAAACGTCTTATAAAGCCCCGACTGCGGGGCGGGACTTGGTAACTACACCCCAGAGTACTTCGGGGCTACGGACTTAAATTAATTGCCCCGTAACTCCTACAAAGCGTCTCATCGTCGTAATTTTATTTTATAATAAAAATCGTATATAGTCTTGTACAAAGGGTTTACGTTATAATACCTTTCTTAGACTTTATTTTATTTTATTTTTTTCATTTTTCTCCCTCTGCGTTATTTAATTTATTTCGTCCGGACGATTAACAATATATTATTCGCTTTGCGATAATGTTTGGGCTTATATTATAATCAACAATAAACTATACATATGTATTAGGTATATATTATATTATGTAGGTATAATAGGTATACACGCCGTATATCTTTTTATTAGGTAGGTAGGTATTAAAACGATGTACAAATTAGATTAAAATATGATCTTGAAGCATATAAAATTAAACTTATTCAAATATGTATAATACCTATACACAATTATTGTACAACATATATGTAAAATGTTTTACATTTTGACTGTGATATACCTGATGATGAAATTTTAATTCGAAATCCGTCGTATAATACACTTATCATAATACTCCAGGCGACACATTCATTCATTTATTAGATTCCGAGCGTAGCGAAGGAGCTATTGGTTTTACAATGCGGTTTTTTTTTTTATTTTTTTTTTAAATTGGTTTTATTAAGATGTTCATTTTTTTTTTCTTCTAGTCGGTGGGTACGTTTTTCCTAATAAACTTACCTCCGGTTTTTTACATGTAGCAACTTTTTTGAAAGCCTAAGTTATCTAGATTGTATTTTAAAGATATTGTTTTTTGATTTTCCATGCTAATTTTTAAATAAAAGCACTTAAGTGGGAAAAAAGGTAGGAAAACGTACAATTTCACGATTTCATTATTTTATAAAAACACGGACGATGTTTTCTACTAGAAAAAATTATTTAATCGACAAATCACAGGATACCTTTTTTTGTTGACTTTTTGATTTAATTTCTTACGGTATCATCGCCAAAACTTTTGAGCTTTTAAGGAATTTTAGTTTTTGGTAGCTTTTTGGCTTTAATTTGATTATAAACACACGTAGACACTTTGAAATTTGGTATTAACACTTATATTGGACTTACCTAGATGTGGTAAAATTTTCAAAATCATCGGACGACTTTTTTTTTTTTAATAAGTGTTTTGAAATCAAATTTAAACGAAAATCACAAAAAAAAAAAAAAAAATACGGCACTTCAAATTATGTATTACCGAACTGCGCTTAGAATCGTCTTTTGTCAAGCAATGGTTTATCGTTGCTTATAGATATAAATGAAATAACCTTATGTATCCTACCTTCTCAACTTCTCTCTTACAATAGTGGCCTCTCCCATCTCCAGTATCAGCTTTTTTTTAATCTTCTTATTTCTATTTTTAAACATTTTTATTTATATATTTATTTACTATATTTATAATCTCTATACATTGGCTCAATTATTGTATATATGTAGTTAAAAAGATGGGCATACTTCGCCGATGGGTGTGCTATTGTTGTAGGTGAGAACTTAAAATGGTAGAATATAGAGAGATATTTAATGTATATTTGTACGCAACGATTAATCATTGATAATGAAAAACGATCCTCAGCTGAGTTCTATAATACATGTTTTACAAGGCCGTAATACTTACGATTTTTGATGAACTTTGATATTAAAATTCTTATAAAAAAAAAATACTATATTAAACTCAACTTTTTCTTAATAAACACTAAGTACAACTTATAATGTACCTCGTATCAAATTTTCAAACATTTCTGTGAAATCTAAAAATGTATCTATCGAAAATTGCTCAAATGTTCTGAAAATTTTACCATTTCTAGAAAATATAAGTTTTCATCAAAATTTCAAGTCTCTAATAACATTTTTAACTTAATAACAAAAAAAAAAATAAAATAAAAAATAATAAAACCATTATTTTCGTACATTTTCCCGTTTTTCCTAAGTTTTTCCAAATTATTGTGAAAATCGCTTGGAAAATCAAAAAATGATCTTCTTAAGTACCAACTAGATAAAATTTCCTTTCAGACTAGGTGCTATACTTGATACATTGGAGTAAGATTTCTGGCAGTATTTTTGTACACTATATAAGAAAGATGGATATACTTCGCACGTTTATGGGCCACTGTTGTAGATAAGAAGTTAGGAAGGTTTATAATGCAACGATTATAACTATTGCTAATAAAAAACGATTCTGAGTGGAGTTTGGTTAATAATGCTGCTTTATCAACAATGTATATGTTATATTATGGTAAAATAATTACATATGCATTATATTTTCTTTAATAATATTTGTTTAATATTGTACCTATTTTTATATTTTCTCATGTTTTTTTACGGTTTTTCCATTTTTAAGTACCTTTCCAGTCAGATTTCCTTTCAAAAAAAGTGTTATCATTTTAAATCGAAGCAAAATTGCTGGTAGAAAAGTTGTACACAGAAAAAAAAAATTAAAAATAAACTTTATTTTAAAACCAGTGGCGTATTTGACTTAGTATTATGAGGCGGGGGGACACTAAAATTACTATACACAAGATTATACCTATTCTACCCTACTTATCTTACTTTATAATTTTGATTATCTTTATTATCTCAGGAGATATTACAATGAGTATCTTCGTTGGACACTATGTATAAGTTTATAATTTTTTTTTTGTTGTATAATATTTATAGTTTATAATTATAAATGTTTTCGTTTAATTGGCAAAAAACTACAATTTCATTTGTATTTATAATTTACAAATATTGTCAAATGCGTATTACATAAGTAAGTGAGTTTTTAATAATATTCAAATTTAATACAATGATGATTAAATATTAATATTATAACTATCGTTGTATAAAAGTGGAAAATAATAATATAATACTGCAGTTAACGCGGTAATAATATTATTCTGTAATAAATTAATTCAACCAATTCAGGTAACTAATACCGCACTTAAATATTATATACTTAATACACTCTAAATGTAATCGTTTTATTATATTAGGTAGGACCCCAATTAATTTGTTAGATCCATTTAAGTAGCTTCAAATCACAGTGTAAAAATAGGGAGGTAGAAAATTTTGAGAGAGAGCGGGAGAAAGAGATAGAGGAACGGAAATGAATAATGAAATAAAGAAAACGATTACGTTAAGCTTTTAATAGCTATGTTGCGAGCGTGTTTAATTTGCCAAATGGTATCAAATGCACATATTCGAATTAATTTTGTTTTTTTTCTGTATTTCAAATCCCTCTAGTAACTGGTTGGTACTTAAACCTTAATTTGCAAGAGGAAAAAAGGAGGCGCAATAAAAGCCGTAATCAATTAGTATTATATTGACAAAATAACATAATATTATATTTTTATTAGACTATAATAAAGTATGTACCTACCTATTAGTGTAAACACTATATGTGATTAAAATAATTATCATATTTTACTTGTCACTTGTGGGTATATTTTCTTAATGTCAAAAAAATAATTAAATTGCGTATGATACAAATAAAACGATTGACGATTGACAAAATTTTATTATAATTATACTATTATATTTGTTATACTAATAAAAAACTAACAGATTGTAAAAGTGAAAATATTATTTTCTTCCTACATGTAGCTACGCCTCAGCGTAGGAGGAAAAAAATAGTAAATTTCTTCTTGAAAAAAAAATTCTCTCCTGTCAATTTGATAAATAGAATGTCATCAAATATAAAAATACTTATTGTTTTTATGTTACAAATTATTCATTTATTTCAATAGCGTACTTCGGATTTTTCAATGTAGTTAAACATAGTAAATGCAACTTATACGTATAATAATATGAACAAACAAAATAACATAGGTACCTAATATTTATATTAGTTATAAAAATAATTTTCCTTGAAGTTATTTTGAAAATTCACAATTTTGTGTTGTACAGTTTTTATCTGTTCTTCATTAAATAAGTAGAGCAAATGTGCAATAATTATTATTTTATTAGTAATGTAATTTCGATGAATATGTTTGTAATTTATAAAGAAACGAAAGTTATGTACTGGTATATAGGGTGATTTTTTTATCATGAACCAGCAATTATCTCAGAGGATTTTAAGTGAATTTGATTTATGTTTTTTCTAATCATTATGGAATCGTTTAAACTTTATTTTAAAACTATTTTTTATTTTTTTACCCCTAATACATATATCTTAAATAACTACATACTTTTGATTTTTCAATATGAACCCCTCTTTTGAACACTGATTTGAATAGAGAATATTTTTCTATTTTGATATGCATCACACTAATATCAGATTTACCATTTATGAGTTTAGAGAAGGGTCATAGATGGGCAATTTATTACTCTTCTCTACTCCTCCGATCTAAACTTTAAACTGTTATAACTCATAAACAGTAAATTTGATATTAGTGTGATGCATATAAACATTTTTAGAAAAATATTCTCTATTTAAATCAGTGTTCAAAAGAGGGGTTCCTATTGGAAAATCAAAAGTATGCAGTTATTTAAGATACATCTACATATAGGGGTAAAAAATTAAAAATGGTTTTAAAATAAAGCTTAAACGATTCCAGAATTTAAAAAAAAAAACAAAAATCAAATTCACTTAAAATCCTCTGAGATAATTGCTGGTTCATGATAAAAAAATCACCCTATATACCAGTACATAACTTTCGTTTCATTATAAATTACAAACATATTCATCGAAAGAGATACTTGCCTGGTTCATGATAAAAAAAATCACTCTGTATATTATAATTATTATTGGAAATACTCATTTTAAATCACAGTCAATATTATGAATAAAATTAATAAAAATCCAGGTAGAAACTATACAGAAGATATAACTACATAATGTATAATTATCATTATAATGTTGCATTTCCAGATAACTTTCTCACCTAAGCGCAAGTCAGTATTATAGTATTATAATTTAAACTGAAAGGAATAATAAATATTCGAATTCGAGTTTGAATAAATATACAGTCCAGTGCAGAAATCGCTCTACACAAAAATGGTCTTTTTTTTTCAAAACGTTGTGTTGTAAATTTGAAAACTATACCTATTTATTCATAATATTATAGTTCTCTTTGTTGTCTTTTTCAATTTTTACAAGCCTAAAAAAAACTATAGGTATACACTGAACAAATTTAAAACGGGAATTTATAAAGAAAATATTATAAAACAATGATTACAATATATCTAACCATTTTATAGATTTCAAAGAGACTAAAGAAGAGAGCGTAGAAGAATACCGTCAAACTCTGGACGGATCGAAAAATAGTAACAGTAAACAGTCAAACGGTCCGTCTAATAAGCAACGGCGAAGTAGAACGAACTTCACATTAGAACAGCTCAACGAACTCGAAAGACTTTTCGACGAAACCCACTATCCCGATGCATTTATGAGAGAAGAGCTTAGTCAGCGTCTTGGCCTTAGTGAAGCTAGAGTACAAGTGAGTTTTGTTAAATTATTTGTACATGAAATAATATACATAACATGATTCCTAAACTTGAAATTTTTACAAATCTGTTTTGAAAATAATAGCATATTAATTTATTAATTATGCTTATTGTGTTCTAAATTAATTAAATGTAAAAATAGTGTACTTGAATATTTTTAGTGGTTTTAGATCTTTATAAAGTGTTAGTGTTATTTTTAACACTTAAGTTTAAAATGTTCACATGATGCACATCGCCTAATCTATTAAAGTGATAAATTATAAATATGTAACAAAAATAACATTTTGTAGGTATGGTTTCAAAACAGACGAGCCAAATGCCGAAAGCACGAAAGTCAAATGCATAAAGGTACGTATAAAACGTATAATAGTTATAGTTATAGTTCTCAATCGTTTAGATATTATTAAATTTATTTATACTTCTAATAATTTAATAATTATATTGATATAATGGGTTTTTATAGTAATCTACAGGTGCAATGTAATAACTATATTTCAAATAGGACAAATGTATTGTATTTCAGGAGTTTGGTTACATAATTGTTGTATTAGGTTATAATAAGTTATCAAGTATTGACATTTATTGATAGTACGCATAATATTAGAGTTTTATGTTTAATAAATACATAATACATATTTCTTAAAAAAGAATGGAACAATTAAATTAATTATCTCCCCCTCGAACAAAAAATGTACACTCCTTAAGCAGTATTCTCTTGGCTATTGTAAATTCATCTGGCTGTGTAAACATTAAGCGGATTAAAGTTGAGAATATGCTATAAATTATTGCGACCATAAAGAAAATTAATTTTCCTCTGTATACGAATTATTATTTATTGTGCGTAAACATGTTTTTTTAAAATAATATATATATATTTATAATATTATATGTACTTTTAATTAGAAGTATTAATTTTTAATTACATTAAGAAATTATTCGACTCAAAAGTTTTAATAGTTAAACCGAGAAATATGTAGAGAAAATGAGAAAATTTACGAAATTTATTATTTTATATTTTGTTTTTTAATATAATAAAAGAAAAATATTTGTAGAAACTTGAAATTTTAACAGAAAACTTATATTTGCTTTTTCTAAAGTGGTAAAATTTTTAAAACATTTGAACCATTTTTGAGCTATTTATAAACATTTAAATTTTGCGAGATTTTTTCGTAATTTAAAAGGAGATGAACATTATGTTGTACCTTATGATAAAGAAAAATTGAGTTTATTATAGTAATTTTTTTTTCTAAGAATTTTAATATCAAATTTTGATAAAAATTGTAAATATTGCGGCCTTTATATATATGTATAATATAACTCTGCTCAGAATCGTTTTTCGTTAGCAATAGTTTATAAATATAAATTCTTTTCTATAGAAAAGGTAAAATATAAAGGTAAAGATACCTTCCCAACTTCTCACCTACAACAGTGGCCCACCCGTCGTGCAAAATATGTCTGTCTTTTTCTATTTTCCATTTTTATTTTCACGGTACATTTCCGTCACATTTTGAATCTCATACTTTTTATGTCAATCTACGAGCTCATTTGTTAGTCTTACATTTTATTTTGCAATGACTTCAGGTAAGATGTCCTTCTGTCCCCCGGAACACTATTTTTAGTAGCTGCCTCCAGTGATATTAGTTTTTTTGCTTGACCTATCGATTCTAAAACAGTAGTTAGATCCAATAATTTTATTTTGCAAGGATTAACTTCCGATCTCGTGTATATGTGTTTTAGAAATTTACTTTTAGTGTTTGCAATATTTAAAATTAATCTATGTTATGTGTTTAACCTTTTAGCAGAAGGAGGGGGTGATGTTTTCCAGACATATTTTATTATATAATGAAAGATAAATTTATAATTTTCAATACACATATTTTTCTACTATTACATTTCTGATATCAAATATTATTGACATTAATTTAATAACCTCACATTTTTTTTCCCCAATTCTAAACCTCTAGTACCTCTTAAACCTCTTATATAAAAATACATTTAATGTTTTCTTCAGATTTCAAAGAGGCAAAGTATTATGTATTATAAAATCAAAAGGGTTTTATAGGATTTTTTCTCGGGAAAAACTTTTTTGGTTAGTAGAAATGTTTCAAGTTTTGTTATGTCATATCTTTAATGATTTGAATTTTTTGCTGGACAGTACTTCATTTGAATATTTCGAAGTTTCTAATACTTTTTTAATCCCTTAGGTTGTTTTTATTTTTTTTCCTCGGAAAACACTTATTCGATTAGTATAAGAAGGCTCTAAATTATTGACATCGTAGGTTTAACTTGAAAGATGTGAATTTTTCACCCAGTAAAACTTTATTTGAAAAATAAAACACGTCTAGATTCTCAACGATAGTTTTCTACAAAATTTAAATAACTAACAACAAATACATCGATTAAATACATAGATTTTATCATTGATTATATAATTATACTTTCAATATATTATCATTATATTATATAATCGATGGCTTCAATTTTGTTAATTTTTGGTTTAGTACTTTGCTACAGGACATAAAAATACAAATTACACTATTAATCGTATTAATCGTTTAGAATCGTTTTTTTTTCATTTGGAATGATATTTATCGTTGTATCTTGTATACAGCGTTTAAATTGAATTATCTTTTATATGTTATTACTTTCCCAACTAAGTTCCCACCTACAATAAGCAGGGAGCAGTGTCAATTTATTTTATAACTAAAAATATTCTTAGAGTTCATTTAGTGGTATAAAATAGTAAAAGATACTATTTTATTTTTAGGGTTCTATGCAATGTTGTCCTTTTCAATAGTAATCATTAAGAAAAAGAGTTATTCATTAATTTATCAAGCCTAACAAATTGTTTTTCCTTCTTGAAAACTTACTAACATTCCTTTCTTTAAAATAATCTGAGTGAGATTTCCGGGAGAATTGTTATCAACCTCTAAATTAATCTCGGGTCTAAGATAGGGAGATATCTTATCCTCAACCCTGTTTAATTTAGGACTAGAAAAATTTATAAGAGAACTAAATCATAATCAAGAAATGGAAGTGATAAATAAAGAAATATTATTGGTCTTATGCATATGATATTGCCATTTTAGGAAATTCCAGACAGAATATTTCTCAGAGAATGTCTAAACTTTTAGCAGCTAATAAAAGGATGTGACTTTGTATTAATGAAGAAAAAACTAAATTTACTTATGCTTTCTAGAAGAGAGGTAGATCAGCCTAATTTATAATTAGATAATTTTATCTTTAAGAAAGTGGAAAATTTTAAGTACTTAGGTGTATATATAAACTGTAAAAATACCATGCATAAGAAAATAGCTGAACGAATAGCAAGTCGAAACAGATGTTTTCACAGCATTCATAAGTTATTCAAATCTAAATTGTTATCGAAAAGGTCAAAAACACTGCTTTATATTAGATTTTTGAGACCAATAGTCACGTATGCCTGTGAAACGTGGTATACGACAAAAGATGACAGTAACAACACTGACGATATTTAAGAAAAATATAATACAATCACGATCTATTATCATTTGAAAGACGGAAAATGACAATGTGTACCAATTGTATGAAAAATCTACTATATTAACATTTACAAGAGTTAAGAGATTAGAGTTGTTTTGTCACATTTGGAGAGCTGAGGAAGATTTACTAAAAAAGTTCAAAACTGCAAAGATACAAAGAAAACGGCTTCTAGGGAGACCGCGTGTAAGGAGGGAAGATTTGCTCGAAGCAGTTCAGGTCCTTCAAGGACTGTTAATCTGAAGTAAAATAATATTATTAATAATACAAGAGCTAATACTGCTAATGGTGCGCCACTGTTTTAGGTGGAATTTTGTCTAAAATAAAATTTTGTAACAAAATATTGATAGGAACATACATCATATTTTCCTTAGGATTATGATGTATGTTACTTAATACATACATTCCACGTGGTCGTTTTTTAACACCTACGTTATATTATTACAAAATAATAATACAAAATTATATATTTTATACATTTATGGTCTACACTGTACATTATAGAATATAATTTTAATATTTAAACCACAGTTATATCTTTTATCAAAAATTAAACTAAAAAGTATTATATTCAACAAAATCATTTTTGATAAATCGAAATCATTACAGTTCAAAAATTAATAATTATTTCGAACGGTAGATAAACTATTTTGACTCAACTTAAAAAATGATCCGCAATATACCCAGCGTAATTTTGAAGAATTCGTTAAGTGTACTCCACTTTTTTTAAGAACAGTTAGAGGTAGGGGATCTGAGTTCCTTGGCATCCCTTCCACTTTAACCCCAGAGTTATTTTTTTACACGTTCGACATTTAATAATAATGTATTATAAATTAATTTTTTTATATTATATACCGCAAAACCAACAACGACGGTCATTTATTATTGCACTGTATTAGTCGCTTTGGAATTTAGAAAAAATCACACTTGTCATTTGGAATAAACGGAAAAAAAATATGATAATTTCATTTTAATATCCGATTGGGGTGTTATTCACCGATCCGTTTACACACTTATATATATACATACATATTATAATATTATTATAATAATGTATACGTGCAAACGCGATTAACGTACCGCAACACGTTATTTATGTCCGATCATTAATATTAATAAAATACGTATAATTTTTTTCGGGAGCGAAAAACAACAGCGACGACGACGACTGTTAACGAATTGTATATTATATTATAGCGAAAAATCTGCATCGTGAACCAAAACGGCGGAACCCTTATAATATATAATACGACCGTATAAAAGGGATGGACCGTACAGTATTCATGATAATAATAATAATAATTATAATAACAATTGAACAATATATATAGAAATACTCTGTTTATGAATATATATACAGAGTATTTCTGAAATGAATGAGGACACTAGTATAAGCGTACTTACTGGAGTAGAATATTATGTTGATTCTAAAATGAATACTTGAATGAGATTTTTTGCAAAATTCTCATGTGCATCTATTAGCGCTTATTGCGCGTTTTTCAGGTCTGAGTGACCAAATTCCAAAAAATATTGTCTGACACATCGATTTGTATGAGAACTCTGTAAGATAAACGCAATGGTAAAATGTATTTGTAGTCATATTTATCATACCCGATTAATAAACACGGTTTTTACACTGACAACTTTTACAAATAATGAAATAAAAACAATATTATGACTTATGAGTAAATAATAGAATTTATTGCTATAAATCAAAGTTATGTATTTTAGATGTTTAAGAAAACGCATATTTGTAATATCATAAGATAAAATCCGTCAAACACCAAATTTTTCGGAAAGAATTTAGATTTCATTACATCGTCGTGTAGTAAAGTCCATTGAAGCCAACGGGATTGAATCACTTTTTTAAATCAAAATTGATTTCAAATAAAGTTTTTTATACAAAAACTATGTTAATTAATCATGTATGAGAAATTACTATAAATAAATTTCACCACCGTGTACACGTAGAGTTTTTTACAAATCAACGTGTCACACAATATTTTTTAATCGGGTGACTCGAATATGAAAAACGCGCTACACGTGAAAAAACAACGCTACACCTTAATTCATGTAATATTCTGTAGATTAATTTAAAAAATCCAAGTTTTGGAGATAGGAAAAAATTTAACAGAAATAGAAGCTAGAATTTTTTAAACACTTTTAAGAGGATCAAAATATAGCTTATTACAGACTTCAATCAAGGATGTATATAATGTAATAAAATATGTAATACAACTGGATACTAGATAGGAGTTATTCTAATTTTGGGTAATTGATTAAAAGTTACAGTTATATATATCCTGAGTAATTGGTTACAAGTTACAGTTACTCTAACTAAGTTACATTATAAGCTACAAGTTACATATAATTTATTCAATTTTTATAAAAATAATAATAATATGGTTTTCAATCAATAAAATAAGTTCAAATTCTTTGTACAATAGATGAATAGTGACAAGTCAAAGCTAATATATTAAAACTTATAAATATTATAATTATTGATAACATAACTAGTAAGCGATAAGTGATTTGTCACATATTGTTCTGCTCTTATCACAAATTGAAATAATATTGATTAGTATTATACAAAATAATGATATAAGATGATTTTTCTAATTTAAGTTGTGTGTATCTATTGTTATAAGTTACAAAACAAATTGTAACTCGTAACATTTAAAAGTTACTTTAAAATTATGTAACTGATTACACGTTACAAAAGTTACCGAGTTACGTAACTTTGGTACATGTAACTGATTACTGCCCGTTCATCACTATAATGAAAGGTAAAGTCGAAGGACGTCGTAGACTTGGTCGAAGAAGGATGTAATGACTACATGATATTTGATAATGTACAGAATTTCTGTAACAGAAACGTCAACGGTAGTATTCAGAAAAACGCAAGATCTCTTGCTTTTCTTTGCACAAGTTGCCAATAAATCTATTTTAGTGGCTAATTTTATTGGTTCCGTTAATTTGGAAATCTGTTATATAAAATCCAGCTGGGTCCAACAAGGCCATAATTTTTCAATTTTGGATTCAAAAATCTTCAAACGTTCATCTAAAAAAAAAAAAGTAAATGAAAATTAACGATTGTTATTTTTTTTGTATAAAAATATACAATTTGAATAATCAAAATAGACTTATTATGGCCTAAAATTTAAGTATCGGGTTAAGAGGGAGCAGTGTTCTGTGCCCAAAGAAAAATGGGCTCCGAAAAAACTTTAAATGTAACTGAAGCGGTCTTCTGAATCATTCGTTGCATTCGTCGTTGTGTATTCGGCCGATCGGATGTAATAACAATAATTGAATAACAGAAAAAAACAAAAACCCGTACAGACGTCATCGTCGCGGTGTATAACCCCTCTTACGAGGGGTATAACCAACCTTAACCTAACCCTCCGAGAGACGGTCGGACGAGCACACGGTTACGACGGACATACGGCCTCATGGATTGTACACCGTTTAGTGGACGGACGACACCGTTCTAATCGCTCGCTGGGGTGCAATCGCCACCGCCGGGGCGACAATCACTCGGTGCGCCTCGCACACACTTAACTTGATTAAGCAACGGATTATTTGTAATCCCTCTGTGGATATCCGGCACGCGCACAAAACTTCCCGCGCACGACATGTAGTAGGCGCGCTCACAAAATGTTACGATCGGTGGCGCACTGATTGACCGTCTCGCTTTGTATACGCACAAGGAGATTGTATAATATATTATATTGTGTACGTTTACGGACGCCCATTGGCATTATTTGAATTCACCGCTCAGTTTCAAGATCATAACAGTATTCTGATATACACTTATTGTTTACCTATACTCTGCACCTCATATTGCATATGAGAAAAAGTTATAGGTAAGAATTTTTAGATAAAATTGTTTACAAATGTTTGTGAGAGGTGCTTAGTCACCTAATAACTACGAAGCACCTCCAAATACCGGATTACACCTTTTCTGTCATTGTTTTATTTTTTATAATGTTATTAAAATATAGGTATAAGTACTTAAAAGGTAGATAATAAACTAAGTACTTTTAAAGTAGCTAATAATTTAAATATTTTACTAGTATTATTATACACTATACTGCAGTGATTACACTTATATACGAATATTATATTCCGGTATGATAGATAATTTAATTTAATTTGAAGATAATTACTATTAAACCTAGTTGAAATTCCAAAATATATACAAGGTCAATAGTTATGTAATTAAAATACGAGATATTTGAAGTAAAAATTATAATAATGATAATAAAGTTGCACAAGTGGTAGATACATAATAATAAAATAATCACTTAATTATTCACTTGATATTAAATTTTAATATCTATTTAACAATAACTGTTATTCACGAAATATTTACAAATTCCAAACAATTTCAAAATTTCATCTTAATTATCGGATTCCATATATTATTTTAATAATAGTTTATATACATATGAATAGCTAAATAGTTTTATAGTACTCGTTGTATAATTAAAGGATCCACTGCAATAACCGCACATCATGAATTTTCACGAATTTTCTAAGAGGAGTTTAAACTATTCCGGAGTAAGGTTGTTTCGCGTAATTTAAAAACCAAAACACTCCAATTTTACGAATAATTCGGCTACTAAATTCCGGAGTTGTTGTTGCACCCAGTGCCGGCGCGAGGGTTGTGCAGAAAGTGCAATCGCACTGGGCCTCGCACTTTTGGATTTGGCTCTGGGACCTCACGATTTTATGGGACATCTATAAAAACTTTAAAATATTATAATTTGCACTGAGCTTTGCAAATCATATCGCGCCGACACTGGCTCTACTCACGTTCAAATTATAATTATATAATCATTGTCATTTATACGTACTGTAACACCTTTGTATCCGAAGCCAATGTAGATATTCATATTTAATTAATAATGTATATATTTTTTATTATTCGTAGGTTTAATGATGCACCAAAACGTTTCTACGCCTTTAGAACCATGCCGAGTGGCGCCGTACGTAAATGTGCCAAGATTACCGCAATTGCAGTTCAATTCTTCGGCCGCGGCTGCCGCTGCGTTTTCCGCATTCGACCCGGCTATTTTGAACGCCGCACAACAGGTAATTGTTAGTGTTTTATCGACTTTACATATACTAATATATAATAGGTAGCGTTTAAATAAATTTAAAAAAAAAATACAAGTCTGTGTTATAGTTTTGATTTTATATAACGCAGCTCTTCCGGGAAAAAATCTAATATATAATTTTATTGACAAATGGATATAATTTAAAAACTACGAAATTCATCAATTTAATGTTATAGAACATCCTTTTACTAATATGACGTTTATCAATTTATCGTCATTTTATATTTTATATACACACCATAAAGTTTGTATATAAACACTTTGAATTTAAAAAAAAAAATTGGTATTTTTTCACATAGTGGTGCAGAAATTATTTAAAAACAATAAATAGGCGTAAAAACAATTTAGTGAAATTTCGGGGGCCTGATTCCCCCATTTACTTTTTATATTTACACACTGTACGCAGTTCATAGTGTTTTTTAAGAAAATTGTCTGTGTCCAAATGGACTCAAGTATAGTTCTGCACATTGTACATCCAGTAGAATAAGATTTTACATACAATGTGTTCACTAGAAAATATATGGTAAACGATTTAATTAGTAGATTTTGTAATAAAATATTTTATTTTATATAGAAAATAAGAAAATATTAAAATATTCTCACTGGGAGAGGAGTATTTAGGGCACACATCTGCCTGAATCTATAGGTGAAGCCGAAAAAGGTATGGAGCCGAAATTGTTTATTTTACTGTATGACGACTATACGGTACTACGGTGTCCGTCATCTAGGCTAATCGTTTAAATTCGGTAAAGGACTGATTGCATGGATTATATAGGTTTCGTGATGGCCTTATGGTCTATATGTTAGACAAAAAGTTTTAATAATACCAATCTGTCGTTTAGAAGGCTTCTACTAAATGAAGAAGTAATTGGGATAAAGTTCGAAAGAGAAGGGAAACGTTTGGTCTACTTTTAGAGCATTTTTTAAAGGAAGAAGCTTATAGAAAGGAAATAGATAATCACTCAAAAAAAGTCCTGCCTTAAATTGAAATTTTTGCCACTCCTCCTCCGACCACCTTTACAATTCACTGAAGTTGTGTTGTGTGTGAGTTTATATATATAATGATATAAATTTGTTGAATAGGTTTGTTAAATCTTTTAGTATACTTCATAATAATTTATTGAGTCAGATCGAATTATATATTTTATTACAGTTACACTACGCGGTAGCTATGGGAAGAGGCGTCCTGTGTCCGGCACCGTATCCTCCGGGTGGTCTGAGTCTGGCTGCACTCGCAGCGCTCCATCAAGACAGGCTGTTAACCAAAAACTCCAGTATAGCCGACTTGCGGTTAAAAGCTAAAAAACACGCGGAAGCCATTAGTAGAGACCAAGAGATTGTTTAACAATATTGTATTATTTTCGTTTTTATATAGTAAGTATACATATATTATGTTTTTTGTTTTGTTTTTTTTTTTTTGTTATCAATATTGTTATCGACATGCTCGTGACTCTAAATTATAATATTATGCTGATCTGATGCACGCATAAATAAAAAAAAATACCTCGTTTTTAAACGGCAGGTTGAACGCATTAAAATAATCTCCATTTTTGTCAAATTGCAATGTAATTAATAATTAATATCTTTTATTATTCTCGTTCTATATATTATATATTATTTAATATATCTATATTTAATATTAATTTCTATTATTATTTTAACTAACATATTGTATACTATTATAATATATACATTGATTATTGATATAATTATTAATTAACGATGATTAAATACTTATATTAATAATAACAATAATTTCTTATACATAAATAATTTTACTTATACGGCTATTCGTATAATATTATAATTTATAATCTATTATATGATGACTTTTTTTGTACCGTAAAAATAGAATTGATATGTTTTAAATATATTCAAATGTTCAACTGTATGTCATAAAAATAAAATTCATAGTATTATCTTTAGTCAGTGTCCCGCAGGACCTATAGTCACATTATATCGCACACTGTCACTGTCCCTGTCTGCTTTATTCAAGCAATTTATAATTGTATAGTGTTATAAATTATCAACTAATAATACTAAAAAATTCAATACAATAAAAACAAATAAACAAATACCTATAAGTAATAATATAGTTGTGAGTTAAGTATATTTAATAACTAGTTGCCCCGTGTCCGGCGTTGACTGTATCGATTTTAATTTTTTTTTTTCACCCATATTCAGTTTTCGTTTTCACCGTGTTAGAAATAAATGAAAACATTTAGGTGGAAAGTGTTTTATTATGAAACTTTAATAGTTGTAAATAATATTAATAATGATAATTATAATAATTTTCTTATCCGTGACAACCAAGTTATCATCCGTATCACCAAGGTAATCCTTAAATAAGCAAAAATAAATAAATAAATAAGCAATTAGATATTCTTATCAAATATATATAAAAACCCGTACTTTACCCCCTTAGAGGTTGAATTTTTAAAAATTCTTTCTTAGCGAATGCCTACGTCATAATAGTTATCTGAGTGCTTAATTTCAGCCCGATCCTTCCAGTAGTTTGGGTTAGGCGATGATGAATCAGTCAGTAAGTCAATGATAAACCATTGCTTACGAAAAAACAATTCTAAGTAATATGTGATTACTATTATATATTTAATGTTAATTAATAATTATACTATATTATAAATGAAAATTTAGTAGAATATTTTGTATTTTCCGACTTTTTGTCCCTGGACTTTTTGACCGATTACCGCCTATACAGTATACAATATACATGATACATGTAAAATCAGTGGTGTATTTAGAATATATGGGCTCCGGTGCGAAATAATTTTATTGCTGCCACCTCACTCCCCACTTATTTTCACCCACAACTCCTCACAACCTTAGACCTTCCACCCAACTATCAATTACTAAAAAATGTGCCCCTTGCATGTTTTGAATAACATTTTGAAATGTGTATCCTAGGGTTTAACAGTTTAAAATTTCAAAGTGTTTTATTTAAATCATCATACCAAATAATGACATAAGTAAATTTTATCAGTCGTTTCCATTCATAACACATTCAATTTGAAATGATTTGATATGATAATCTGTTATTACTTATTACTTGGGGGTACAATGTATAGACAACACATGCAGTGTAGAAAAAAATCTATGCAATAGGCAACCGTAATTGACATAAAATCACTCATAGTTCTTTAATACAACAGCGCTTAAAAAAATTACCTATTCCTTATAAAAATAAAATTATAGAATAATCCACCTATTAATTAATGATGCTATTAAGTATTATATATGTTGTGATAAAAACAAAAATGAATACACTTAATAAAACTGTCACTTCCAAAACTGTTAACATTTTGCAACTCGGGTCATTCACCTCCTTCGCTCTCCTACCTAAATACGACACTGAGTAGAATAAAGAATAAAAAATTATTCTTTATTCGAATTCAAGTAGGCAACCTATGATAAAATTTAATAGGTACTATACATAATACTCAATATCTAATATTATAATTCTACTATATTATAGTAGCAGAATTTTATGATTAAAGTTGAATGGAAGGGGGGGGGGAGTTAATGGAGAACAGAGTCCTTCCATTTTGTTTAAAGTAACATTACCATTATCATTTTGTTTGTCTTCGAAAAAATCGTTTCGATGCTAATAATTGTTGACTTTTGATCACATAAAAACAACATTTACAATACAAAATCTAATTTCTTCGGACTTATTACCCTACAAAATGATTTCTTCTACATCTCAATGTATGTCTCGACATAATTATACAATTAAAGAAGAGCTAATACTGGGGACAGGTATGGTTGTAGGTGGGTAGTAAAGAATATGGGATACATAAAGTTATTTAAATTATATCTGTAACCAACGATAAAATCAATATTAAAAAACGATTCGGAGCGAAGTTCGGTTATACAGATTTTGAAAGGCCATATTTATGATTTTCATCAAAATTTGATCTTAGTATTCCTTTATAAAAAAAAAATTACTACATAAAAATCAATTTTTTTTCACCAAAAAGTACGAAACTTAAGAAACCTTCTGTTAAATTTTTAAGTATTTCTGTTTAATCTAACAATTTTATCTACAGAACACCTATACTAAATAAAAATTACGTAACTCAAAAAATTAAAATGTCTATACATAGCTCAAAAATTAATCAAATATTTTGAAAATTTTACTACGTCTAGAAAAAGCAAATATTCATTTTCTGTCAAAATGTCAAGTCTTTATGAATATATTAAACTAAATAACACTAACCAACTAAATTTAAAATAATAAAAGAATTATTTTTGTACATTTTCCCGTACTTTCTGCATTTTGTGTTTTTTTGGTTATGCTCAATTATTTAAATAACTACGGAGAAAATCAAAAAATGACTTTCTTGATCACTAACTAAATTATAAATTCAATAAAAAAGATTTCTTGTTGTTTTCTAATTGAAGCAATATTTATGGTAGAAACTTAAGCCGTAAAAATTTAAAATAATGAAATCGTAGTGCCGTAATTTGAGAAAAATCGTATTTTTTTATTTGCTTTCCATAATTACTTACGACTTACTTTTTCAGTTGCTGAATATCCTAAGGACAAAATCGACCTGTTGTCATTTTTGGATTGGAGTAATATTTCTGGTAGACAACATCGTGTTAATATAATAAATACAATGAAAACAGTAACGCTGCGGCGCGCCATAAATATTTGTCATTTTACCTATAATTTTCTTTTGGGTTTTTCTGATTATTTTGAAAAACTCTTAAAAACTCGAAAAATTACTACCCCGATGTAACAACTAGAAAAAATTATCTTTTAGAAAAGGTGCAACACTCTATACTTCGGAGCAAGTTTTCTGGAAGAAAAGTTGTTCACAAAGAGAAAAAAAAATACATTCACATGTATACATTATGCTATAATACGTCATACAAAAAATGATATAGTTTTTATGAAAAAAATTCGTTTAAATACCTTATATGCCAATATAATATATTTTTATCCCAATATATTTACGTACATTTTTAAGTGATATAAATAATTTAAATAATTTTGGAAACCCTTAACACATAATTCTTGAGTAAATTCAAAACTTAAATTTTAATTTTAAAAGAGTAAATTTTTAATTCATTTAAATCACTTATGCAAGACTACGGCAAAGATTTATAATAAATATTAATTATATGCACGTATGTATGTTTGTACATGGTATATATATATATATATATATATACAGGATGTTCTACAATGTTATCTGAAAACTAATAACTGTCAACGTTTATTTTTTTTTCCAATCGGGTTTCGTGTCAGATGGACATAGATATAAAGAAAAATACAATTTTTATTTCATCCCTTAATCGCTGAAAAAAATAACTTTATTTTTTCACTTATTAAAATTTTCAAAATAGTCATTTTGTAAAATATATTATTTTTAAAAATTTGAATGTATGATACATTCAAATCTAATCAATAGTTTCTTAGCAATAATAGATATTTAAATCGTAATACAAGGTACCTAATAAATCTATTAAAAGATAAAAATTTTTACAATAAGCAGGTTTTCATTAGGAATTAAAATGGCTATTGCTAAGAAACTATTGATAGGATATGATACATTCAAATGTTTAGAAAATAATATATTTCACAAATTGGTTATTTTGAAAATTTTAAAATATGAAAAAAAAAGTTATTTTTTCAGTGATCAAAGGATAAAAAGAAATATTTAATTTTTCTCTACATTTGTGTCCCCCTCACACAAAACCTGATTGAAAAACAAAAATAAATTCTGACAGAATTATTAGCTAGTATACGGATAACACTGTAGGACACCCTGTATTCATATTATGTACTCGTATATTGTGTATATTGTGTATTTGTATGTATATACGGTTGGTTATATTATAATATTTTATACTCGCTGCGGTGTGTTTGTTTTCCCCTAACAGTATTATATTATATACGCGCCCGGTCGGCGTTAAAAAATGTAGTGTAAATCCCGCACGATACGGACTTAACGGCGTTTTAATTCAATCTGGGAATAGCAATCCGCAACGACGCTCGCTGCAAAGGGCATGTATACGGGGGCCCCCCCGCCGGTAAATCGCCTTTTCTCCGGGCCCCGCAGTGATATATGGCCGGCGTGGGAATCGGTGCGTTGGAATATTCAAATCGCCGCCGCCGCTACCGCCCAAACAATTTTCCGCAAGAGGTTTTCCCAGCCACCCGGAAATATGCCAAATATACGGTATTGAAAATCAGGACGTGCGCTCCGCCCTCGTACGTTACATATTATAATAAAACCATTGCGCTAGTAGATACTATAAGTGTGGTGGAACAGCGGGCGACAAAACTTTGGTGTATGCGATTCGCGTTAACAAATGATAAATCATACAAATGATATAGTCCAGTGTCTTGCAATCTCATAACTGGCTATAGGTATATTAGGTATAGTAGTCAAAAAGCATCAAACGACCAGGATTTTCTCTTCTATGAGTGAATATCATTCAACAATATTAATTAATACTGATAAATATTATAATAGATTACAAAACACAATAATATTTACCAATGCATAGCACTTGTTTGAACAATGATAAGAACCCTTTTTGGAAACTCGGTCTGGTCGCGTATTAACATATTGCATACATAACAGTGTACACGAAATAAAATACTACCCGATTCGACGTGGTTTTGCATAACAAATCTGAGTTTATTTTCGATTAGTTTAATAGTACGTATCATAAATGAAAAAATCAACAAAAACACGTTTCCTTGTATTCAAATTCAGTTTATAATTATTTAGTTTTTAAAAATGCTATTTACTTCAACAGTTGTTTTGTGATGAACATTTTCCCATGAGTTACTAGAAAAAGAAGACAGGTGTCATCTGCATAGGTTATAATTTACCATCTATACCTAAGTTACAGATGTTTTTTTATGTATAAAATGAATAATGCAGGTCTTAAAACACTGTCTTGTAGTACTCCGCATTTAATTTCACCCTCATCGCTATAAACGTCATTTATCGATACCACTTGTTTTCTGTTTTTTAGATAACTTTTAAACTACATAAAATTGTCATTAGTTATTCCAAAACTTGGTAACACTTTCAGAAGTTCATCGTGGTTAACAATATTAAAGGCTTTTGCCAGATTTAAGAAAACTGCAATTACTTTTTTGTTACTGTCTAATTCATTGTATACAAATTTGGTTGTTGCGTAAATCGCTCAAGTCGTTTATGTCGTTTAGTGCTCAAGTCTACCTGGTCAAAAACCAAATTGATTTTTAGATAATAAATCATTAATTTCTTGGAAGGATTTAAGTCTAAATTTTTAATTTTTTTTTTTCAAAGATTTTAGAGAAGTTATAAAGCGTAGATATCGATCTATATTTCAACACATTTTCTTTATTACCAATTTTATAAAGAGGTTTGACAATTGCGAGTTTAAATTTATTCGGAAAAATGCCCCGTTTTAGGCATACATTTAGTATATAGATTAAAGAGTCTACAATATAAGGAGCTAAATGCTTTAAAAGTTTAATTGATAATTTATCAAATCCAGCTACAATCTTATCTTTGAGATTATTTATGATTTCTAGGACTTCTGTTATTTCAATTTGTTTTAGGAAATGCTGATTAAAAGAAAAATTTGGTACTTTGTCATCGTAGTTATATAAACTGTTCTGTATGTGTTATAATACAATTTACAGTTTCACTTTAATATTATTAACTCTTAAATTTTAAACGTCTGAGCTTCTTCCGTCAAAACAGCAGAACGGAATGCCAGGCCTGCGGGTGCGCGCGACACCGGGCCGAGAATAGGATCGATAAACGNTAAGTATTGTGATTATATGTTTTAACGTTATTCATCAATAAACGATGGCAGCAGAGGAGTAGTATTGCGCAAACAGAACCTCCTCTGCTGTCGGTCTAAATAAAAAAAAAAAAAAAAAACTTATATTTTGACTATTAAAAACAACGTTATATAGTGAATACTGACTATGTCGGTATAACACACATTACATAATCTACTATCATAATCTTATCACATATTATTACAATGTTACATAGATAACATAAATTAGATAAGGTACAATCTACATTCATAACATAAACTGTTATTGAGTTTTGCCTCTAAGTCTTTCTCAACACCAATGAAAAATTAATTAAATGTATTTACTATATTTAGAGAACATTTTCGGGGTTTAATAATTGACCATTACTTTCGATATAATTATTGAAGGTCTCGTTATTTTTGTTATTATTAGTTTCAGTTTAGGATTTAGTAATTGTACTAGAAAATTTTAATTTTTAGAAGTTCGTTTTTTTGCACTTAGAATTGATGTAAAATCATTTTGATATTTGATAAAATAAGATCGCAGGTTTAAATAGTTAGGATGTTTTTTTAACCATTTTTGAAATATTATTTTTACGACATGCCCAAATTCACTACGCTTTTGTCATCTATTCTTTAATTAATTAATTTTTTGAATTAATCTTAATTTCATAGCTGGTATTTTCAATATAATTTAGCAACTTTGCATAAAATATATTGATTAATTCGGTAACATTAGATGTATTATACAAATTGGATCAATTTTCTTGACTTAACAGTCTATATAAGAGATCGAAGTTAATATTTTTACTTTAGAACTTTTTTTGAAAGGAAATTTTGTTGGGGGTGGTACTTTAACGTGGTCATTTTTTAATTTTTCCGGCAGTTTCACCAATAAAAGAGAAAAAATGGGAAAAAACATAAGAAAAACTGAAAATTTACGAGAATAATGCTTTTATACATTATAAACTAATTTTATGTGAAAAATTATAATATTGATATACTTTGTATCTTATAACTATGTATAATGTATTCTTATTTATAATAATGTTTGCATATCTAAATGTATTTTTATTACAAATAGTAATATGTAGTTTTATATAATATACCTATTTATAAATATTTGTACCTTCAATTTATATTAAGTTGTATTTCTTGGTAAAAAAAAAAGTGAAACGTAATTTTTTTTAAAAACTTTTTTAAATTTTGAAGGAAATAGTAAGTACCATCACGGGAATTTGAAACATGTATAACAGAACTTTGTTTAGAATCGTATTTCATTAACAATTATTTATTGTTATTCAACAAATACCTACAATTATATATTATGTAGCTTCACGAATCCTACTTTTTAGCAGTGCCTGAATCAATCAAAACGTTTCCAGAAAAATTGCATAGTGAAGTTTAAATTGTTTATAAATTGGTAGATAAGTAGGTATTCATCGCTAGTTGTTTAATAATACAAAAATGTATAATACTATTAAAACGATTAAAGCTATGATAGAAATTATATTTAATAAATTATTTATTCATTACAGCGATAATGCGTTTGGCGCAAGGTGCAACTGCAACGTCGATACACAAGTAATACATTTTAATTATATTAAAATGTCAACAGGACGATCGCTCATAGAATAGTAAAATGCGCTCCCCCGCACAGAAACCAAAACTTCGCGAACTGATTATTGTGACAGAGAGATAGAGAGCGTGGTTACGACCTCTCTCGAGCGTTGCATAGGTTTCACTTTTACTGTAGCCTCTTAAGTCGTATTCTATTGATTTGGTTCTTATACGATTCAGATTTTATTTTTTGTAAACCCACTAAATTTTTATAATCGGTCCATGCCGTAGATTGTTTACCAAAAAGATACTGTTTAAATGTGGACATCCAAAAAATATTGCCGTCGCTTCTAATTATAACACTAAATAGTGTTTTTGTGCTGGGGATAATTTTTTTACCGAAAGAAACTAGTTGAATGTTTCCGTATTCGCGTCACTATTGCAATATTATACACCAAAACCGGCTAACGCTAATAAAGAAGCGTCCGTTACTATAGTTATATATGCGTCTGCATTTTAATACAGTAATACCGGTGGTGAAAGGTAATAATCAATTATCATGTAATTATACAAGTATTAAAAATAATATAATATAATACTTTATAAAGCATCAAAACGATTCTGTAATTCAATAATAGGTTTAGGTAGCTCAATAGCGAAGATTCGTGATTTCTCCTATGAAGTAGATACTTAATTATTTTACATTTAATAATTGATTATTATTACTAATTTATATTTTTATAAAAACCATAACTTATAACATCGGATTAATATTTATGTGGAATCACGTTACTTCAAGGTATGTAAACAAAAAATTATTTTGTATAATGAAAACGTGCGGAATATGGTAAGTTAAAAAAGTTAATTTTGTTTAATCGTATTCTAACTCTATTATAACCGTAGAGGGGACAATTGGTTGCTAGTTTAAATAACACTGAAACCAATTTTTCGCATATTTATTTTTGTTTGTTTTTATTTAACGTTTTTACATTAATATTTATTAGTTTATTTAAGGTCAACTTATCGAAGAAACGACTGTAATTTAAGATGAAGAATCAATATTTAAAAATTTTAAACTTGACATTAGGTAATATATTATTAAAATGCTATGTGAGTAAAAATAAAAATTGATTTAGCAATAATTAAATTTTTGAAAAAAATACCTAACAGAAATAATATAAAAATAAAAGTAAAGTAAATTTCATATGTTGTTTTTTATTATTCATTTAGAAACAATCTTATAAAGATGGTACATGCACAACTAAATTATTCGCAGACGATTCTTCTCCTATAGCTTTTATAAGATAACTCAATCCTACATCAGATATTTCATTCATTGTCTTGGGTTCATTAAACCGAGTTTATTTTCTTTAACATCCGAAGCTGCGAGTTCTTGCAATTTTGATAGAGTTATATTTCTTATTTCATGGGACGTTAAAAATACTTCAAATTGTCTTTCAAATATTTGTTTAATTTCAACAGTAATAATTGAGTCCAAACCGAATTCTGCCAGAGTTGAATGTAAACTAATCGTTTTTAGATCTCTAAGACCCAACATGTTAATTACTGTGTCAACAATAGTGCCAGTATTACTACTAGAAGCACGTTTTTCAGCAACTACCATGCTACTGACTATTGGATAGTNAATGATCCATTATTTCTAAACAGTTGTCTATTTTTTGTTGTAAAGTACCACCAATGACTACTTCTTGATTTTCTTCAGCCATGTCAGCTACAAGACCCACATCACCAACAGCTCCCCATTCAATAGCCAAAGCTGGTAAACCTTCTGATTTTCGGATTTCACATATTCTTTCCATTACTGAATTAGACATGCCATAATTAGTTTGGCCGGTATTACCACGTCCGCAGCTTACACTCGAAAATATTACAAAATGTTTTAACTCTGGACACATTATTCTAGAATGTTTATCTAGTAATGCGGTAGCAATAGCTTTTGGTCCAGCAGATGCAATAAAATCTTCATATTTTTGGTTCTCAAATAACGCATCTTTTAAAACCTAAATAAACAATTCACCAAAAAAGTAACTATGCAATTAAATTATGTTGTAGAAATGTTATAAATCAAGTATAAATATACTTTATCATCAATTAAAAGATATTGACTCATAATCATATTCTAAATAATCTCACATTCTAATACATTCTATTTCAGTTTTCAACTGTACCCACTCTTCAGTTCTTAGAATAAGTATTAATGTCTATGAGAACAACAACATGATTTACTAATTATGTTTTATATTATTATTGTATTAAATTAGTATAATTCAATTTAAAAAAAAGTCTGCAAATATTTGAATGCAAAGAACTGATGGTGAGCAAACTAAGGATAGTGCAAGCTAAGTAGTTGTTGTTCTTCTTCAAAAAAAAATCCATTCACCACAAAAATGTTAAACATTAATATAAACTTATAAAACAATTTTATAGTGTGTAACATTGTATTATGTAGCAGAAACATGGAAAATTCTGAAAACTGTTAGAAGAAAAATAAAAGAATTTGAAATTTGGTATTGGTAAAAATTCAGTGAAAATCTCCTTGATAAATAAAGATGTGCATCATAATATAAATTAAAGGAAGTCAATATGGTCAATAATCAGGGAGAAGAAAAAAATAGATAAGACACTTCCTAAAAAATAATGCATGAATAATATCTTTCATTGAAGAAAAAAATTTAAGAGAAACCTGAAAGAAGAAAACCAAGCTAGTCTTATATGATTCAATTAAGTTAGATTTAAAATAAGGATGCTTTAAAAAATTTAAGGAAGTTGCTATGAATAGAAAAAAGTGGAGGAATATTTCATCATTAAACCAATCTACAAATTGTAAAAAAAATTATATTTAATTGGTTAAGAAAATAAGAATATTTAAAATATCAGTAATTATGTTAAATGTGTCTACATTAATAAAATATATCAATTAAGATTACAACAAGATCTTATCTTCACTTAAAAAATAGATTTAGTCCAAAAATTTGGATGACCCATAGTGAGAATATACTTTTTACATAATTGGTTCGTATTTTAGGAATATAGGTTAAATTAATAACATATTATGGTATACCTAATTAATATGATGTTTTATACTTACAACGGCAAGATTGAAAATTGTAGAAACTGGTCCCAAATGATTTGCTTCATTAAGTAATTGTTTTATTCCATTTTCAGTTGTAATATCAGCAGTTGAAATAACTACTTTAACCCCATAAGATTCCCATATATGTTTCCTTAATGCTTGATAACCATTACGGATACCTGTTCTAGTTGTAAGAACAATATTCCTAGCATTACGTAAAGCCATCCAATCAGCTAGTTCAAGACCAAAACCACCAAGACCACCTTTAAATAAATACATTTTTCAGTAAACACCATGTGGTTCATATGTTACTATATTTGTACATTGAAATATATTTCAGATTTCTTATTATAATTACCACAAATAATACAAGATGAATTTTTATCAAACATCACTTTAGGATAAGCCAGTTTAGTTATAAGTGCTGGTTTTGAGTTAATATCTTCTTCTTCATTTCGAACTTTTATGAGTACTTTACCAATATGTTTACCCGCAGCCATATACCTAAAAGCTTGCTCTACTTGATCACATTCGAAAACTGTACGTATTAGTGGTTTTACAGCTCCTGAATCAATACCATCTTGTACTTTAACACTTAATGACTCCTTCCATTCTCTTGGACTATCAAACAAAGTGTCTAACATAACACCATGGAAACTAATTTCCTTTAAAAATACTTCCATACCTTAACAAATAAATTATATTTTGATAAAAGAATGTATTTACAAAGTACATGCATTATACTACCTAACATGCTGTTGTTAGCTAAATCAAATTTGCCAATTTCTAAAAATCGTCCACCAATCGCTAAACACCTAACTGAAGCTAAAAGCTTTTCTTCTGCTAATGAATTCAGCACCATGTCTACTCCTTTTCCTTCAGTTTCCATCATGATCATTTGCTCAAATGATGTATCTCTCGAGTTTCCAATATGACTTTCAGGAATCTAAAGATAATGTATTATTTTTTAGTAAACTTTATTTTTTCATATTTATACCTGTGGAAAATGAGTTTTAATAAACTCTCTTTTTTCTGGTGTTCCAACTGTTGTAAAAACTTCACATTCATAATAAAGTGCTAAATTTATAGCAGCTTGACCAACTCCACCAGTTCCAGCATGGATAAGTACAGAATCACCACGTTTCATTCGACCACTGATAACCAAAGCGTATATTACCTTAAGAAATCAGAAATTTAATAATTTAACCCAAACATTAAAGTATTTCCCATACTGTTCCATAAACAACTGGCACAGTTGCTCCATCTTCTATTGTCCAATGTTCAGGTATTTTCCATGATAAATATTTATCTAATTCAAGTATAGTTGTTAAAGCTCGTGAGGATACCATTCCCATAACCCGTTCACCATTTTCACGGCGACCGGCATACTCGAAACCAATTAAACTTTCTTGATTTATACGGCCTCTGGCTACAACTTCAGGGGCAAGTTTAGCTGTAGCTAACATAATATCTCTGAAGTTTAAAGCAGTATAATAAACATGGACTATTTTTGATTCGTCTGGTTTTCCTGAATAAGGAACAATATTTCCAGAAAACCATTTTAATGATGATAAATCACCACGAATAGAAGTATTAACTGTGCAATGATGAGCTTCCACTAAAAATGAAGATTCAAGTAGTAAATGTCTATATGATCCCCAAACATTATTTTTGTAAACATTTAATGCTAAATCTTTTTTTAATTGATTCTTATATAATGGTTCGTCTAAAGAAAATGCTGGTGCACATTCATCCATTATAAACACACATCTAAAAATGAACAGATCAAATATATTAAATAAGTAACACAGTTCAATCAAGAAAAACTATATTGTTATTTGTATTCCAAAAAATGGTCTTAGAATAATTAAATGTTTAGTTACTTACCTATATAATAATTATAAATGAATAATGATTAATTTTATTTTTTGGTGCTGACATTGAAAATTATGATTTAAAATTGTGTGATATATTTAAAAAATTTAAATATTAATTTTAATTTAATTATTTTAGGTTAAATATAATTATTATAAAGCTAATTGCCTAATCATCTTATCAATATAGATATTACAAAATTTCAATTAATTGTAAATAAAATATAAAATTAAAAATACTGACATTCTTTGCACCATAGGTAGACTGTTAGAGAAGGTTAGGTTAGGTTAGGTTACAAAAGATAGAAATTTTAGTAATTTAGTTTATATCTGTACACAATCATAAATAATTTCCAACTTAAGACGAATCTGAGCAAAGTTTAGTTAAACAAGTTTTGATGAACTTAAATTAAAACTGTTATTAGTTTGTAACTAATGTGATGTAATCACACATTACAGACGACCAGTCATATCATTCAAAGAATGCCCACTACGAGCATTCTCTGGTTCCATATATGATGTTCATCAAGTTAAAAAAGAATTAAAAATGTGGATACAAGACCTGGATGCTATAATATAACTATCACATTTTCTTATACAATACCTACCAATATTTGTTTATTTATTTATTTTTTACTGACTTTATTACTAATATATTTATTTATTTATGTATTTATTTCTGCTAAACTACCATAAATTATTTCTATATGTAGTAAAACCTAGTATGTATACCTAGTTAGTAAAATAAAATATGTGTTGCTCATACAATTCCATATGAAATAATAATAATTTGTAACTAAAAAAAATTCCAATGTTCTGTTTAAGATTCCAAATAAAGCGAGGAATGTATTGACTTTACAATGATATTTATTTTTATTTTTTTTTTTTTAATTTGGACATAAAACTTATATTTGCCTTTTCTAGCTGTGATAATACACTTAAAATTTCTAAGCTTTAAGTTGTCTACTAGAAATACTGTTCCAATAAAATTGAAAAACAACAAGTTGTGTTTATGTTGAAATTTAATCTACTCGGTGACCAAGAAATTTTTTGTTTGATATTCATTGTAGAATGTAGTTTAGTTCAACAATTCTTTAACAATTTTGCAAAACCGAAAAAAAACTTAGAAAGAATAGGAAAATGTACGAAAATAAGTTCTTCATTAACAATGATTAATCATTGCACACAGATATACATTAAATTCTCCCTCTATATCCTACCTTCCCTACTATTCACCTACAACAGTAACCCACCCATTATGTGAAGTATTTCAGTTTTTTTAAACACTTTCTTCATATTCTTAGGCATTTTTATTCAGAAAAAATTGGTTTTTAAAAAAAACCCAATATGCAATATTGACTTATGGCTACTATTCAAAACCAATCTAGTATCATAGTTAAATCAATAATTACTTTAAATTTCTTAAGTACCTATGTCCATAAAAAATCATGATTTTAAGCATAATATATTATTTACGTAAAAATATTAATTTTTAAATATAATTTTTGAAATTTAACTATAAACAACTATGACCAATTGTATATTTCTAAAACTATGTATGTTTATTGTTCATACAATAATTTATACAATCTCTAAGTTACCTTGTTCTATCACCACCAGTTTCTTTTCTGATACAATTAAATAGCCCCAGAATTCCATTTGTAGGATCTTTTTCAGCAATAAGAATTACTTTTTGCTTAACAGAAGCATCATATGCTTGTAAAGTTTTTTGTAAAACAGGTAGCCATGAATACTCTGNCAGCAATAAGAATTACTTTTTGCTTAACAGAAGCATCATCTGCTTGTAAAGTTTTTTGTAAAACAGGTAGCCATGAATACTCTGTACTTGAGATTTTAATAACAATTGGAACAACATTTTGGTCTAAAGGCTAAATTGTTTTTGTTTATGAATTACATTTTTGATTTTTCAGATCATTAATGAGTAATTAGTTTTTTTTTGTACCTTTCTTACTAGTAACAATCTTTCTTGTTCAAGTAAAACATCTAGACAAACCACTACAGAACTTAATGATGTTTCCACATTTAATTGTTCACGTGATAATAAAAATCCTCCTGGTTTAAGTGTAGAAAATACTTGTTCCAATAATTTAGGATCTTTTAAAATGTTTGATCCAACAACAAATAATACTGATTCGTCCGAAGACAATTTTTTATCTTCAACTGTTATATTAGATGGTATTTCCTTCAGCTGAGGATGGTTTCCGTCAGATAGAATAGATACTTCAGGCTAATTATAAATAAATTAATATAGATTTTATTATATATTTTTTTACACATAAATAATTTTTAATATCATACTTGAATAAGTGGTAAATCAGCTAGGACATCAAGAATTATGGGACTAATAATTTGTACGTCAGGGTTAAATATTTTGTTTAGAATTTCAACAGTTTTCACTTTAATACCCATAATATTTTCAATAGTTATATGCAAACAAATTCGCACTATATCTTCGAGAGTATATCCCTAAAATTTTTATAATTTTACAAGTATATACGAATAATATCTTAAATTAATCATTTTTGTTTACCATTTCAATAACATATGGTACAAACATACATTTTTCAAGTACTGGGTCAGCTAATGGTTTTCTTTTAGAAATCGCGTTTGCATTGAGACCCTTTATTTCTACACCACCAGATTGAATAAGTTCTATATCACGGTATACATAAATAGGGAGCTCTGAAATTCAATAATATTAATTTAGGATTTTTTAAAAATGTACAAATATGAATTACCTGGATTTTCTTCAGGAAGACCTTGCAAGCATAAAGAGTGTTTTCTCACATCGATCACAACACTTTCTAATGATGTCGGGACAAAAAGCGACCGTGTATCTTCACTTAAAATTCTTATTTGTAACATATTGTCCATAAATGCTACCCAGTTATTAAACCATCTAATTTTGCCAACAGTAGCTAAACAGAATAAATGCAATATGTCTTAAAAATAACTGATATTGTATTTCGTATTATTTATTTTTAGATAATTTACTTACCATCAAGATTTACACGATTTAGACTTCTGAACAGTCCTTTATAATTATATCCTCGAAGTCTCAACTCTTTATAAACATCCTTGATATTTAAATCTGTATCATTAGGTTGGTAAGGATGTGGAGGCATGTTAATCATTTCTTTGTTGACGTCGGAAGGAATATATAAACGGCCAGTGACAACTGGTGCTCCACTTTCCACTACCTCAAATGTACCACTACGTTTTTGTACCATAACAATAAGTTCAATTATACCATCCTTAGGGATATTAGTTGCTCTTTGGAAACGAACATTTTCAAATACAACAGGCAATTCATAAAACAGTTCGTCGCGCATTAAGGCCAATGATTCCCATGCCATTACCTAATTAAATTAAGAACAATATAATCATTTTAATCATTTATTGAGTACAATATTTCTATTGTTCTGACACAAAAAAAATAATTTGAATTAAAATTATATGTTTTTTTTTTTTTATATGCTAGGTGTGTACAAAAATTCGACCAGAAATCTTGCTCAGAAAATGTTTTTGGGGTAGTACATTAGGGAAGTCATTTTTCGGTTCGTTTAGGAGTTTTCTTAATGACGATAACGGGAAAATGAACGAAAAATGGTTTTTTTTAAAAAAATATTATGACCTTTTTTTTCCCTGTGATCAATTTTTCTACCAGCAATTTTGATCGTATACCTTTTTTGATTAAAAAAATGTACTACTTTATTAAGTAATAACGCTATATTCTACACCTCCGAAACGTCCGAACTATAACAGCTATGCAAACAACCTATTATAAGTTATGTTCAGGTCTTTAGATTCGGAGCGTATTGGTTTAGGTTAGGTAATTTCAATCTGCAAACAACTTTTCAAAAAGAAATGTTGCTCCGATGTATGGGGTAGAGTACTTTTTCTAAAAGGAAATTTTGTCTTGTGGGTGTAAATTAGCGGTCATTTAATATCTATAGTATTTTCTATAATAATTGGCAAAAACAAAAATGACGAAAAAAAAAATTATTTTTTTCAAATTACGACAAAACGATTCCATTATTTTAAAATGGTACGGCTTATGTTTTTTACCTTAAATATTGCTTCAATAGAACAACAACATGAGACCTATTTTATTAACTTTATCTAGCTAGTGACCAAGAAAGTCGTTTTTTGATAATTTTTTTAGTAGTTTTTTTAATAATTGAGTGAAACCGAAAATTTCGAAGAAAGTACGAAATTAATTATTTTCTTATAATATATTTTTTTTTTCAACGTAATTAAGCTAAAAAAATGTATAAAAAACTTTACATTTTAATCAAAAAGTCAGGTTTAGCTTTTCTAAATTTGTTCAGGTTTTTAAACATAAATTAACTTATTATTTGCTATTTATAAACATTTTAATTTTGAGAGTTTTTTATATTATTTTTATTTGATCGGTACTCTGTACATAAATTATTAAATACAATAGGAATGCTTGAAAAATAGATAGGTTTTATGTTCTAAAAATTTTAAAATACAATTTTAATCGTAAATATTATAGTCTTTTAAAACATGTACAACCGAATTAAATAACTTTATGTATCTCACTATCCCTAACAACACACCCACAACGATAGCCATTACCATCACCAATATTTTACATTAATTTATTAATTTTAGAATGTGATTTGCATTTTTAGAAATAAAAAGCTGTACTATGATAATGAATACAGCCACTTTAAAAGGTAATTTAATGTATATCTGTAATCAACGACAAACCAATGATAAAAATTAAATGATTCTGAGCAGAGTTCAGTTGATACGATGCTTTTTCAAAAATATGTATGTCATATTATGGTAAAATAATCAAATAGACATCACGTATCTTCTTAAATAATATATTTTTTGTAATATTGTACCGATTTTCCTACGTTTTTCTGGGTTTCCTATGTTTTTTCCCGGTATTTCACATTATTTGGAAAAACTCTTGGGAAAATCGAAAAAGGGCCTCCCTAAAATATTTCCCCAACAAAATTTCCTTTCAGAAAAGTTTCTACATTGTATACATTGGAGCTAGGTCACTGGTAAAAAAGTTGTCCACCGATAAAACAGTCGTAAAACCATATGCTACAATGCTCCACTCTAAATCTACAATAAAAGTGATATTATTACATAGTGATAATATTATATTATTTATGATAGGACCATAAACAAATAATTTTTTCCTTTTTTCGATATATGTCAATAGGGTATGGGGCCCAACAAAATTAAAATCGCTCCCCCACTTGATACTTTATCAAAACAGCCACTGTCTAGGCGATGTTTGGTCAGTATGTCATATTCTGGTAAAATAATTCCATATTTTTCTTTCTTTTTTTAAACTTTTTTACCGGTTTTCCCATGTTTTTCTAGGTTTTAGGCTGGTAGATAAATTGTTAACAGAAAATAAAAAACACCATTATAAACCAATACATTTTTCGTTCCACTCAGAATCTAAAAAATAAATTCTAAAATCAAGAATCCCATAATTTAACAAACTATATACACATTAACAATGTTCTGGTACAAAACTTCAAAGTTCGAAATATCGAAAGATACGAAATTTTGAAAGTTTTAAACAGGTTAAAACATCGAGTAGTATGAAATATTAACAGCTGAAAAATCGAAAATTTCAACTTAAATAATATATTTGAAAAACTATAAAACTACTACCTACATAATAATAATTATTATATTTCCATATTATATGCAATTTTATGTAAAAACTCCAAAATAAAGTCATAAAACCAATAAATCCATATCCTCGTTTTTATCTGTATGGCATCATTTTACATTTTATTATGGGTTAATTATAATGCAAAGTGAATGTAATTTAAATGATAATGTATAGTTCATAATATCGTAGCTAAAATTACATGGCAATAAGAGTAAAATATATATATTAATCATTTTTATTATATTTAGTTATATTTTGATCTGGCGATATTTTGTACTTTTCGATTTTTTAGCTATCAACATTTTAATCCGTCGATAATTCACATTTGTTAATATTTTGTACCTGTCAACATTTCAATGTGTCGATATTTCGTACTTGTCGACATTTTACTGTGTCAATATTTCGTACCTTCCGACATTACGACCGACGATGTTTAGACATGTCAACATTTTGACCATCGTCATTTTGATTCCCATTAACGATAACGTAGGTGTGTATAATATATATAAATACGAGTACTTATATTTACCAGATATCCTGTTGCCGGGAATAAATTTCGTCCATCAATGACGTGCCCAGATATGTATTCGAATTCAACTTCACCTAACGAAATTTTAATACTTCGCTCGCCTGAATTTATTTTGTCAGTAACACTATACTTCGTCACGTACCATTCTTCTGAATGTTCCCACCGTACTAGAGGTGCAATCATTGGTGTTCCTCGACTTACTGGAAATTCAATGTCCGGGTAGAGTTTACTAATTTTTGGATTGATACCAACTTTAAATATTCTGCATAAAACAAAAACGATTTATTTAATAAAGAAAAATGTTGCTTACGTACAGGATACCCAGAATTAATGGGATTATACTATTTAATATTGTAAAACTAATAAGTACGATTTTACGCGTTATTAATAATGTTGATCTTGGTTTTATATTAACTAGAAACCTTAATCTAAGTCGAAAATCGCAATGACTTCTAGTATAGCGTTTAAAGGGTTCATGATGCAACTATCTCAAAACTTTAAACCACCGAAATCGTTAACATCTTTAAATATTGTATTTTAATATGTCCTATTTTATAATACGAATCTATAGTCTGGGATATTAATACTGTTTCTCGTCCTGATCAACTTGAGCGGATCCATCGCAGATATTTGAGATTCGATTGCTATTTGTGAGAAATTCCCTTATCTTGAATATACCTAACTTCCTTACTTTTCAAAAACGTAGAATGGTATAAAATTAAAAATGATTTCACCGTCTAATAACAAATCATATTATTTCCCCATCTAATTATCCCAAAGAAATTTTAAACTTTCTTTACATAAATCATTTATTCAAAATATCCCTAAGTCCAACACAAACTATGACACTCTGAGACGTATTAAGTCATTTGCCAATGTGAACCCCAATGAAGACTTTGATGATGATTTGTTTTAATATCTTTATTTTACTTTGTAACTATATCATATTTGTATTATCTTATGTTATATTTTATTTTGCATATCTACTACAATGTACAATCTACGCTGATAATGTACCTTCTGTTACTCTAATGTTATAAATAAAAAAATATAAATTCAATTAAGCATACAAAAAGAAGGATAGATCAACAAGCCCTGTTTAAGTTTATAATATGTGTATTAATGATGCGTGTATTTTTCATAATCGTCAAGTTATGTAAAATAAGAGAAGAAGGATTCGTTGAGAATTTAAGAGAACAAAAAAAAGAGTGGTCGACAAATTCTGATGCTTGAATTATTAAAAAAAGGTCCTTCGTATATCACAAATCACTTGTCTCTGCAAAATCTTTGAACAGTTAATCTACGAGGAGGCATATTGTTCATTTGAACCTACAATAGTGAAAAAAATGAGGACTGTACTTAAAAGTACTACGTATGTCTAGTATATAAATATATACGAAAAAGTAAATAAATCATAAAGATTCTCACTTTCCAAAAGCTGACAACAGATACCCAAGTGCGTCTTTGTGATCCTTAGAAACTAAGTCAACAGTGTAAATATTTTTTTTTAATTTCTGATTTATTATATCACATAGAATGCCATCTGGAGCTAATTCTATCAGTACAGATCCCTTTGGTAAATGTCCAATTGATTCATCAAACAATACACTATTTAATAAATTATTCACAAAATATTCGGCAGAACAGTAATTTGCTTTATCTGTTCCCCATTGTTTTTCAGGTACTGATGTACTAATCCACTTTCCTGTTCGTAATTTAGGATGTGGCACAATTTTTTTCAAATTTTCCAGCAGTGATGGTAATGCCTTTTCAATAAGTTTTGAATGGTAGGGCACATCAAATACATTTATTATTTTAGTTGAAATAGCTTTTGATTTCAACTGCGAAACAAATTGTTCAACAGATTCTTTTAAACCAGATATGGTACAACTATCTTGAGAGTTATGCCATGCTACATCAACATTAACTGGAAGTAAGGGTTTAATATCGTTATATCCAATACTGACAAATGCCATTGCCCCTAAAGATAATTTGGAATTTACTACAGCTAAACCATAATAATAAGCAGCTTTTAATGTTTGTTCCGCAGTTAAACAGCCATCCGCATATGCACATCCCAGTTCTCCGGTAGACAGCCCAATAACAAGGTCTGGAGTAATTCCAATAGCAATCAATAAATCAAATAAGGCGATCTAAAATAAATATCAAAAATATAAAAAAACAATTTTTAAGTTTTGAACATTTTTACTAAAAACTTATTAAAAACGCAATTACTTCCATGGCTGTGATTCCCACAAATGAATGAACTGTATTATTTAACGTTTGATGATCAGAGTTTGTTATTATTTTTGTTAAATCGAGTCCAAATTCTTTTAAGATGTTATTACTCTTTTGGATCGACTCGTTAAAAATAGGTAGTTTCATTAGTGATTTGCCCATTCCAGTCCATTGAGAACCCAGTCCAGTAAACACAAAACATACAGAACGTGGTTCTCCAGAATAATACTAAATAAATAAATAAAATAAATAATCCTTATAAAATATTAGAGATGTTTTAAAGAAGTTTTCGAGATTCTAATAGTTTTGTTTTTCTTTTCCTTTAATTATTTTTTTAATAATTACAATACGAATTGAATACAATGCACGCATTTATACATATTTACATTTTAAGAAAGTACTATAAAATCAGAAACCTATATCGAATATTACATATTATTTTTAAACTAATTATTTCCCGAAAACAAAAAAAAATAAAAAATTGTATTTTGTATTTTTCCATTTTTTCACCTATTCTTTCGAAATCTAGACAAATATACGGTTTCCTATATTTTATGAAAATGTCATGTTTTATTTTTTGTATATTGCGATAATCATCATTAATTAAACTAATACTAACAATTCATTGATCACCATTATTGTAGTATTTTAAACTTCCAAAACCATGTACCGTGTTTTGTTTATTTGTAATTCTGTGTTATTGTACATTTCACAATATTTATCATTGAGGTATCATTTTATACAGTTTAGTGGTATAGTGAAAGTTTAAACTTTAGTATTTATGATCATTTGGTTTTAGTCTACGAGTATAAATCATTGAATATTAGTATATGAATCCTTATACAATAAGCAATAATACAAAAGTAAAATATTACATAGTGTAATAAAATCAATATTAAGCTGACTACAAATCCCATTTTTAAAACGTAAAAAATCTTACAACTGATTGATAACTATTTAAGTTTTCTATTATTGTTCCACTTTTATATGGTACCTATTAGAATTGAATACGTAATTTTACCAAATAAAAATTACGTAAAAAACTCGTAAAATTAAAATGTAACGTCACAACAAGCCGTAATTATTTTTCCGGTTTTTTCCCAATTACTTTAAAAAATCTATTGAAAATCAAAAAAATGACCTATTGAATGCATCAACTAGAGACAATTTAATTTCAGAAAAGATACTACACTCTATACATTTCTGGTAGAACAAGTGTACGCATAAAAGAAAAAAAAAGAAACATTATTGTAACACCAATATATTTCTCGTTCCATTCAGAATCTAAAATAAAATATCTCATCAAAAGCTTGACAGAAATCAAAAATTTTAACAGTAGTTGTCTTTTTAAAGTCAAAACAATAAAATTTTAGTCCAGACTATTTAGTTCAAAGTTTACATATTTCGATTGTGCATTAGAAATTGAAAGTAAATTTCAAATTATTATATTTCTTAATTTTTACACCACCATTGGCTATAGCATTTGATAAATGTTAAATTAACGAAAGATATTTATGTATTAGCATTATTTTATTTTTATTATTATAGAATTATTACACAATTTTGTTACGTACTTTTTGTTGGTATCATTACCGTTTACTGCATTGTGACTTTAAGAGGATAACTGCAAAAAAATAAAACCTAGATTTTTTAAATCATATGAGTTGTGAGCATATCATTATGTACATTTGTCTTGATTTCACTGTACATATTATACAGAATGTCCCACGAAGATATACCCATTGTATAGTATATATGCCGAGGATAATAATGTTACACAAATTCTGGTTTTCAATATTTCTCATAGGGATAAGGTCTACATATTATGTATTTATATTGAAATTAAGTTTGTGTGCTTGATAAAAAACCATAAAAAAAACTTTTTATTTTATTATTTATAAACATTTAAAGATAGCCTTTTTATAGAGTTCTGAAAATTTTAATATATCTACTTTTTATTTTCATATAATTCGTAATTTTTAATAATTTTTTTAAAATTCAGATAAAAGGAAAGTGTAGCCTCGTAATTGTAATAACATTAATTAATTAGAGAATGCAATTGCAGCCTGTTGCACAATTTCAGGTAGTTTTCTCTGAACTTTAAACATTTTTCATTTTCAGAAGAATAAACTCTATAAAATTGCTATTTCCAAATTTTTAAAAAACAAAAGAATAAAAATGTATGAATACAATCATAACTAATTTATCGTTCTATTAAATAATTATTTAATGTTTTGAGCATAAATTTTTTATAACTAGGTAACTAATATTTTATTACCTACTGTTATTTCATTACTAAGAAATCAATAACTTTATTCTAATGTATGGCTAGGCATCATATATAAAAGTATAATAATAATTGAACCTTTGAACCTTATATAAATTATTTGGCAAAACAAACATGAGGAGGGTTTAAGTTTATTTTAATTTTTTTTTTATTTGAGATTATAGTAACAATAAAAATAAAACCATAAAAAAAAATTATAATATACTTGGCAATCCACGGGATGATATAATTTTGAATCTTTTGATATAATAGTGTATCCTCTGTAAAAATGTCCAGTAGTATTTTCTATTTGAACATCATGTAATAAACGCACATACTCTTTATCCAATGGTCTTGACAAGAACTGTAATACCAAATATTATTTCAACCAATATATCTAAAAGTCGTCACTCATCATGTGTAGACTATTGTAATTGGGATTGTGTAATAAACAGGGTTATTATATTTATACAGTGTACCTACATGCAAGAATACATTATTGAAAACAAAAAATGATTCAAAAAGTGTCCATTTGTTTGTTTCTTTATTTGTCTGTACGCAACATACCTACAAACAAATCTATCACACACAAAGATTTAAAAGTGTACAAACCGAAATGGATGGTTCGAATGCGCCTCAAAAATGGATATCCAATATTTATCCCCTAAAAGGTGACTAATATAGACATTTTGGTATTTTTGGAACGAAAATTGAATTATTTAGATTGTTGAATGATTATAAATAAATTATCGAGCAACAACGATTAACTGCGACAGGGGTGAAAACAGAGAGTCACAGAAAAACACAATTTTATTTTTTTTGTTTAATATTGTTTTCAACCATGGAACAATGGCGCCGAACTAAGGATTTAGGTCAGGTCAAGACTAGTTTTGGTGTTGTATTGGTGGTGGTGGTAGTGGTGGTTAATGTATGATGGATAGATCTTTTTCGTGTGTTAAAATATTATTAGAAGTAAGCTAGTAGGCAATAATAACAATATTTCATTATTTGTTTGAAATTTCACTAACTTGTTAACACCGTTAGTAATATATAACATAATACTATATTAATATGTTTAATATACAAGTATCAGTTCTAATCTAAGTTTATGGTACAAAATAAACGCTGTTTTGACGGTTATATAATGTTCCGCCAATTATGTATTATGTATAATAGTGACTTATAATCTTCAATTCCTTTTAAAATAAGTTACCGAAAAATATTAAAACAGTGTGGCAGTTTATTTTAAACATTTTTTTAATTTAGTTAGTAGTAATTTTGACGAAAAACCAATCAAAATAAACGTCGAAAAATACGTCCTTTAAAAAAAAGAATTTTTTAAATTCATGACAGTGCGGTAAAGTGTTCAATGGCATATTAAAATTACACAATTTTTAATAACGACATTTTGATAAATATCAACATATTATATTAAGGGGAGAAAGGGTATATAGGACAATGTGACCTCAAAGTTTACACATAAATATGTAGAGGTGAGTTTGGACAACTAGGACTACTATTGACCTAACCATTTCAAAACTAATTCGGTGCCACTGCCATGGACAACTAGCATATAAAATTTAAGGAATATCAATAATCTTACATCATTAAGTATTACAAAAACAGCTTCTTCAGTTCTACCTGATGTTACAACCAACCTAGGCAAATCATCTTCAGGAAGTCCGTTATTAATTTTACTTTTTTCATTCCAATTGAGCAATATATGACAATTAGCACCACCAACACCAAATGAATTAATACCAACCATACCACCATTCCAGGGTGTCGTTTCGGTAACTACATTAATATGGCCATTATAAAATGCCGTTATATCTTTTCTCGGAGTTTTTAAATTTAAATTTGGTGGTATAAATCCAGTTTCCATAGCTATTATCACTTTAGCTAGAGAACATAGACCCGCAGCCGGTTCACAGTGGCCAATGTTTGATTTTACAGAACCAATTAGTAAAGGTTCTGTGCGACCAGGGCAAAACACATTTTCTAATGCTTTAACTTCTTCTGGATCACCAACCTATTATAGTGACCAATATTAAATACATATATTATTATCTTCATATTATTTTATATTAATATATACCTTTGTTCCGGTTCCGTGTGTTTCTATCCAAGCTACACTACTAGGTTTAATTTCACATTCTTCATACAATTCATTTAATAATATTTGTTGTTGAGATCCTGAAGGGTACGATATTCCTTTTTCTGTGTATCCATCAAAATTGGTTTTCACATGCACAACTTTTGCATAAACACGTTTAGCGTCTTTTGCCCTTTGTAAGTAAATAACGCAAACTGCTTCTGATCTAACATATCCATTAGCTTCTTCGTCAAAAGATTTACATTTTCCATCCATAGAAAGTACACCCAATCGAGAATATTGTAATGATAAATATGGATCAAGACACAAATTACAACCTCCAACGAGCGCGGAGTCACATTTCCCATCAATGATCGATTTATAAGCATTCTCCAGTGCATACATACTTGAAGAGCAAGCAGAGTCCAGAGAACAACTAGGACCTATATAGATTTTAAAATATCTATAAATAACTAATTTGAATTGTACATATATAAATAAAATATTAGTTACATCAATTATAATAATAACTCTATACCTAATGATACACAAAATTAAATTTAAATATTTATACCTAAAGAAAAAGCTCACCATTTATCCCTAACCAGTAAGATATTCTACTAGCAAGCATAACACGAGTGCATCCTGTAACTCCAAACCCATTTACTTGAATTTTTTCATAAAACCATGTTTTCTCTGACTCTACAAAACAATTTCCCACAAATACGCCTGTTTTTGTTCCTTTTAATGAATTTGGTGCAATGCCTAGAATATATAACACCTAAAATCATTGATTGTTTATAAAATAATTCAATAAATAATCATTAAGAATGTATCACTATTAAACTATACTGGTATATTATAATAGTACCTATAGATAACGTATTTGTTTTAGAGTCTAATATGCCACATTAAAGCTTGTATACTCATAGAGCTTTTATCTTTGCAAATATATAATATCTCGGATAAAATATCTCTAGTAAAAAATCTATATAAATATCCTCAATGGAAATATCCCATAAGATATAATAAGTAATAACTAACCACAGTATTAGTGTTGTATAGTATTATCATTGATTTTAGAATATACTAATATCTGAAATCACGATTACGAGTTCCTACGCTAGTATACTAAACTATGAGTCAATTACTAAAATATAAATACATTTTCCTGCAGATAATCATAATATGATAAATCAGGATAAACGATTTTATCGATACAACCATATCGACTACAGGTCGTTAGTTCCAATTTCATAAAAAGTTTAAACGGATATAAGAATACTTGTAACAGTTTATTGTAAGCCAAAAAGGTAAAAATGTAATATTACATAACGGGTATATTTATTAATTTAATAAAGGTTTAGACAAATGCATTTTGCGGTGTAATGAGTACAAAAAAAAAACGTCAAGTTTACAACCACACAGCAAGAAATGGGTAATTATTATGTATATTATGAGTAGGGCTCGTATTTATATGCATTTGCATGTTTTTTTTTATATAATCTAAAAGGTAGCTGGATAAGCTACAAGTTTGAATAATTGTCAATAGAACTGAAATACAAAGTTTTACATATTTTTGCATATTTTACTATTTTTTGTCATGAAAAGTATATTTCTGTATTATACGATTTTTCATTGCATATGAAAGGTTTAATATATGCGAATTGCATGATAATGCATAATATTGTTTTATTTTGAATATAATAATACAGTGGCGGTACCACTTTTTTTAGGTAGGGCCAACAGTAATAAATTAGGGCCAAAAAAAAAAAATTAGATTTCAGCAATATTAAAAAAATAAAATACTGATAGCTCCAATAGGTAAATAGGTTATCGATGTTTTCCTTATGGCACTCGCATGTACTGCGGCTGACCCGAGCAACTGTTGCAATTTTATTAATTAGAGCAGTATCTACTACCTACTCGGACGTTGTGTAGCGTACTACTCTGTAATACCTACATTAATAAACGCTTTTCATACCAAACTACGCGATATTATAATTATACCTACAAACATTATAATATTAGCAACGAAGATGAAAGGATGGCGTAATATTTGGGTAGTTTATTGCAGTTTAACATTGATAGCGACAACTGGAAAATCTACTAAGAACGATTAAAACAATTTCTGAAAGTGAACAAAATTAAAAAGACGTCCTAGGATAATAAGGACGAATACAGCCATTGTTGACCTATGTAAACCTATCAGTCGTTACTTAAACCATTGCTAACGAAAAACGATTCTGATAATGATGCTTTGTCAACAATATATATGTCATATTATGATAAAATACCTAATTAAATATAGGCATTATGTATTTTCTTTAATAATATTTGTTTAATATTGTACAGATTTTTCCGTTTTTTCTGCGTTTTCTCTAGTTTTCCCATGTTTTTCAAATTAGCTGGGAAAACTCTTGGGAAAATTAAAAAATGATCTTCTAAGCTACCTCTCCAGTCATATTTTCTTTTAAAAAGTGCTATTATTATGAATTGGAGTGAAATTGCTAGTAGAAAAGTTGTTGACAAAAAAAAAAATCCTAATATTTTTTTACTAATACCTACATTTTGTACATTTTTCGTTTTTCTGACATTTTTTCCCAATTTTTCACAGATATTATAAAAGCCACTTGAAAAATAAAAAAATGACCTCCCTAAATCACCATGGAGAAACAATTTTCTTTCAGAAAGTAAGCTACACTTGATGCATCGGAACAAGATTTCTGGTAGAAAAGTTTGCATAACTAATCGAGAGGTATTTTGCGATTAAGATAGTCCAAAGGGAGCGATGGCTTGGGTCTCTAAGTACTTCCAAAATGCATTTGTTTTTTCCTTGTTTAGGTTTGACACTGATTTTAACTCGGAACTTCTATTATGATAATAGGCATAAATAACCATTAGATCATGGCAAATATGTTTATGAAGACAATATAGGTTTATTTAACATAACATATAATATCCGCTTAATATCCGAAGCTTTATTCTGACTTAACCATTTTTCTAAATAATAATAATATCAAAATTTGGTATTTAATTATTTTATTAAAAAAAATACTACATCAATCACAATGTTTTTTTTTTTTTTTTACTTCAAAGTAGTAAGACTCTTAATGAACCTTCTGTTAAGTTTTCAAGCATTTCTGTTCATATTTTTCAATTTTACCACACTGTACCTACTAAATAAATAGTACGTACAAATTTCTTAAAATTGAAATGTTTATAAATACCTCAAACATAGATTAAAAATTTTACCACATCTAGAAAAGCAATATGGGTTTTCTGTTCAAATTTCAAGTCTTTATGAATATTTTTAACTGAATTACAACAAAAAACAAAATTGAAAAATAATAAAAGCATTATTTTCGTACATTTTTCTTACGTTTTATTCTGGTTTTTCCCAGATATTATGTAAACCGCTCTAAAAATCAAAAAAATGACCTCCCAAAAGTACCATCTAAACAACATTCCCTTTCAGAAACGGTGCCACGCATATATATGAGCAACATTTCTGGTAGAATTTTTATACACAGGGCGAAAATTGAAAGGAACAAAATATAGGCAATTTTTAATCTCGTTGTCGCTAAGTGGTATCCTTGCGTTAGTCGTAAACGATCATTAGTATAAGTGCGGTTCTATATGAGTGAACCGCACCTCACCACATTATCAACAAAACAGATAAGTTATATCGTTATCGCAAATTTATTTTTGGGTTTATTGGAATTTAAATATTATTATTATGTTCTGGTTTTAATTATTATGTTATAAACTAACAAGATGAAATAACTGCAAGATTTTTATACGGACGTGAATCTAAAATGCGTTTACACATGTTACTAGGGACAGTAACGATAAATTTGTGATATCGTAATCCTAATACTTATTCACTTTCTTTGAATCCTTCTACTATTATTGATGCTTCCATCCCTAACGACCTATTTGATGTTTTCCAGCTTTTGAAACATATATAATCTTTTGGCTTATCTCCATCTTTAATTCTAGCACACAATGAACAAAATGTATTATTCACGCCCATAAACAACACTTTTTTAGTACGATACCTTAATTCCTTATGATGGCTGCCTATACAAATGAATACAAATAAATTATTTTTATAAAATACTATTACTATTAGTAAATTATGACTGTATTATTATTTTATTGGGTAAATTAATAAAATAAAAAAACAGTGCCATTTTTTTCCTCAGGTAATCTCTTATATTTTTCATATTATATGTCGGAATTGAAATTAGTTAGGGAAAGAATTTGTTTTAAAAATAATTTCAATAACGGACTTTCTAATTTCTCAATTAAAATTCTGCAAAAATGTTATTAAAAAAAGACGTCCTATGATAATGGGGACGGGTGCAGCCACAGACCACTATTATAGGTAATTTAATGTATACTTATAAGCAACAATAAACCATTGCTTACGAAAAAACGATTCTGAGCGGAGTTCAGTTGATAATGATGCTTTGTCAACAATATAAATATATGCCATATTATAGAAAATAATTCAATAGGCTTTATATATTTTATTTAATAATAAGTACCTCCCAGTCGTATTTCCTTTTAGAAACATTGTTATCATTAAAAATTGGAGCAAAACTACTCCCTTAAGAGGGATTGCTCACTATCTAAAATTTAAAATTTAAAAAACTCATATAAATTTAAGAGATTTCTTTCAGGAGACATTTTGTTTATAAGAAATATTACCATTAGAGATATATTTTACCGAACAAATTTAATTTTTACTAGAGATATTTTGTACCAAGTATATTTTTTACCGGAGATATTTGTTCACATTAATCCAAATATAACTAAAAACAAATTCCTTACTCACCGACTAAAAAAACATTTTTTTCAAAAAAAATTGTTTACTATTTGATATGTGATGCTTTCGATCATTGCATAGAATTCATACTTAGAAATATTATATTCGAATACCTAAACATTTTAAATACGAAGGTCCCTAAATACTATTATGAATTTATAAATTTATTACCAGAGTCTAATATTGCTTCATATGCTTTTTCCAAAATAATTCGACTCATAGGGTCCATAGTATGTGCTTCATTGTATGGAATCCCAAAAAATGCTGCGTCAAACCTATCAATTATATTCAGTTTACCAGTTTGCTGAGGAATTTCCGGATGATCTGAAATATATGAAAGTTATAAAATGTATTTATTAGTACATTATAATAAATGAACAACTATGAAAAAAAGATAATAAATCGTTTTTACTAAATTTCCATCTTCTATCATTACTAGATGTTAAATCAACTTTATTGAAAAGCTTTTCAGCGAAATCTGAGAGTCCGTCAGAATTTGGAAACGATCCAGAAAAGCCTGATATAACGATTTCATTACCAGGATCACATCTTACTATACGGCGATTGGCTTCTAATGAAATTTCTCTGTCTTTTTTAATTTTAAGCTCCAAAGCTTGTTGTCGAGACATGGTTTTACTAAAATATTTAAATTGAAAAATATCATTTATAAAAATCAAATCAAATTAAAAATATATGGGGACTTCTTAAGAAAATCTCTTCATGGTGACCAATTACCGAAACTTAAATATAGAGGTGGAATTTATTTTTTTTATTAATAATTAATATAATATGGTGAACTAAAACATGATAAGGCATTTCATTTAAAAACGGTTTTAATCCAAAATACTTCAACTTTTCTAACAATAAAAATATATAAATATACACTTAAATAAACATAACTTACACAAGTTATACAATCACTTACCTACAATTGAATACACAACATACATAGGACTTAATTAAACATATTCATTGGTACAATAAAGTATTTAAAATTACTCATTAATATAGCCTATATTAATATAAGATTAAACTGTTTTAACTTATTATCTTATAATACGGTAGTTTGTTCTAATTAGATCTACCAACTAAGATATCTAATATTTTTTTAATGGTATTCACTGTTAAAATTAAAAATTTAAGAAAAATAACGATAGGTACTTAGGGACATTTTCAAAATATTATAACACACTTTTACTCTTTTAACAAAAAATAGATAATCAAATATAAAACAATTTTTAAAGTTGTAAAAATAAAATAAAATAATGAATACTATAACTTACCGTTTAAATATAAATCATATGTCTTCCTTCAAAAATTATTCGATGATTACTGATGTATTGAGAAAGCTTTCAATGAACACAATACCTATTTATTTCAGAAAGGAAACAAAATAATCTTATTAAATTATTCATAAATGTAACAGGAAGGTCAATAAATAATGTTATTTCAAAAGACAATAAAGTAAAAAGATTTAGTTTCATTGTAATTGTTATTTAGAGACATGGATATGTGCACCAATCGATCCAATTGCAGATACATTAAATGATATTTTTTTTTAAATATACTTGACATATGGTACTGAAGTATGATAAACAGTGGTTTATTGTTGCTTACAGATATAAATTAAATTCCCATCTATATCTTACCTTCATAACTTCGCACCTACAAAAATGGTTGCACCAACATGCACAGTGTGTCCGCTCTTTTTTTTTTTAGCTTATAGAGTTATATATTATATATTATTATCTATTATATATTTATTATTATTATTATTTTCATATTAGAATTACATTATGTATTTAGAAATACACAATCACAGAGTATATAGGAATATATGTTTATGATATTACGAATGCTTCAACGCACATTGACGTTTGATATGCTAAGATAAACACATTACGTCCATAGGCGTAACTTGGGAGGGTATTAGAAGGTCTTTAGCACCCCCAAAAACCCAATCAAGTTTTTCATAGTAAAGACAAAATATTTTATCCATATATGACATAGTTACAGAACAAAATACAGATTTTCCACAGACAATGCGTGTGTATATGAAAAATAATTTTAAAATAACAATGATACATTTTTATATACAAAATCGTAAATGAAAGCTGTAGTTTACTATTGTATTGTGAGTACACTTTAATATTTTTTAGTATACTTTATATTTTTGGTAAATAGTAAATATTACATGTTAGAATGTTAACATTTTAGATTCTGAGTGGACGAAGAAACTTATAGTTTTGCAAAGGTTTTTTTTTTCTGTGGACAACTTTTCTATCAGAAATCTAGCTCCGATTTTTTGTGTAGCACCTTTTCTGAAAGGAAATCGATATGTAGATATACTTTACTTTACTTAAAAAGTGATTTGCAGATATAAATTTATTATAATCTTTCTCTTTAATATATCTGTATACATTTTTTTTTTTTTTTTATTAATTTTTACCAATTTCTGTTTTAATTCAAATATGGTTCCAAAGTAAGTAGTACTCAAGGCCTCTATTTCCTTAGATCAGGCCCAGGTTGTGCCTCGATGAACACGTCTCGATTTTATCTACTAACAATTCACACACGTACCTAATACGTATATGTATGTACTAATAATAAATTGCGACAGTTATATAATCGGTGGACGGCCGCTTAGGGCTTCAACGAGTTTTAACATCTGGATAATAGAAGTTTCGTATCACGGAGGTTCGGATAATCAATGTTCCATTGTACTTCTAAAACTAGTAGCATACCATAATAATATTTTATACCTTTATATTCAAACCAAAACGGAGAAAAAGAATCACAATCAAATTCTGATGGTAAATCAAATAATTCATTCAAAGGAATTTCACAATACGAACTAGAGCTTAATTTTAAATTCTTCATTTAATTATTTATATTATAATTATTTTAATAATTTAACTAAGTTTTTTTTTCAATTATAAGTAGATATAGAAATCCGTTTCGTGGTAATTGAACTGCCCATAAAATGGACTTAAAAGCTGAAGAAAAACAAAATCCATATAATGTCTAAAATGGCATAGTGTTAAACTAAATAAATAATCAAAATTAGTCCATAATTTTTGTTAAAAAGAAAATACATTTTGTTTTACATTAAATCAGAGAGACTATTGTAGCAATATATAATATAAAATAAATTATACCAGTGATGTAGTCATAAATTTTTAGTCAGTATACGTCACTAAGTATACTGACAATATATTAAAAATGGATGATAATCTAAATACAAAAAAGTTCAAAGGTTCTAATACTCGGAATATACATTCGCATGACGTTAATGCATGACCTTAATGGCTAATAAATTTATTTCCTACGTAAGCAATTAATTGAAACAATGGAAAATATAATATCAAAAGTGTTATAGTATATAGTGTTATATATATAAAGTGTATAATTATGCACATTTAGTGGTTCAGTTTTATGGTGATATTTCTGAATTTTGGATCACGGTAAATTGATTGCGAATTATTGATGGCGGCTATAAATTAGTCGGTGGTTAAATTGATCGCCAAAAAAAAAAAAAAAAAAAACAAGGATCCTATACAGAATTTAAGGAAGTTGCTATGTAAAAATGTTATTTAATTGGTTTAGAAAATAAGAATATTTAACATATCAGTAATTATGTTAAATGTGTCTATATTAATAAAATAAGTTAAGATTACAACAAGATCTTATTGAAAACTTTACTCAAAAATAGATTGAATTAAAAAAATTATGGATGGCCCATAATGTGAATATACTTGCTACATGATTGTTTCATATTTTAGAGATATATATTAAATTAATAACATATTATGGTTTGCCTATTTAATATGATTTTTAGATTCCAAACGTAGCGATGGAGCTATTAGTTTTACAATGCTGTGTTATGAACTCCTAGATAATTCAGT